GGCAAAGAATTTATCAAAACCTTCCGCAATCAGATCAGTTAATTTCTTGTGCTAAAATTCGAGTTCATTTAATTTATAATCGCTTTTTCAGATTTGCGACCCGTCACCTCATTAATGATCTCCCAGGTCTTACGTGAGTTGCCGTCACAAGCTGTAAAAGAATTCAAATAATAGGACTTTTTAGTATTCTTAATTGCATTGTTCACGTTGTTACGTGTTCTCTTAAAATTATTCCAGTCGATAGCGTCACCTAACCGTATGGCCTTTATTTTAAGTAGATCTCTTAAATGCATCATTTTCTTAAGCTCCGTAGTTATCCACGGACTTTCGGAACCACGAACGCGCTTAGATCAGAGGGGAGCATGTACATAAGACACCTCTAGGAACAAAGTTTTCCATTTTAGCCACATTTCGTTCGGTAACAAGGGGCAACAAGGGCAACAAAGGGTAACAATGGGTAACAAGGGTAACAAGGGGTAACAAGGGTAACAAGGGGTAACAATGGGTAACAAGGGATAACAAGGGTAACAAGGGGTAACAAGGGTAACAAGGGGTAACAAGGGTAACAAGGGGGGTAACAAGGGTAGCAAGGGGTTACAAGGGTAACCAGGGGTAACAAGGGTAACAAGGGGTAACAAGGGTAACAAGGGATAACAAAGGAAACAAGGGGTAACAGGGTAACAAGGTAACAGGGTAACAAGGTAACAAGGTAACAAGGTAACAAGGTAACAGGGTAACAAGGTAACAGTTCAACAAGGTGACAGGGTAACAGGGTAACCGGGTAACAGGGTAACAGGGTATTAAGGTAACAGGGTAACCAGGTAACAGGGTAACAAGGTACCAAGGCAACTGGGTAACAGGGTAACAAAGTAACGGGGTAACAAGGTAACAGGGTAACAGGGTAAGAAGGTAATAGGGTAACAAAGTAACAGGGTAACAGGGTAACAAGGTAACAAGGTAACAAGGTAACAGAGTAACAAGGTAACAGGGTAGCAGGGTAACAAGGTAACAGGGTAACAAGGTAACAGTTCAGTTTTAGTTTTAGTTTTACAAGCTTTTCTGGACACAGGCCAGCCCGGAGGAAATAGGCACAAACGGGACTCAAAGGTCCCATGCAAGGTTCCATCCCTACCCAATCCCACAACCCGTTAAGGTTGGCCACACCACCGGGGTCTACGTCCTCTACTCTCTTCGAACAGTAGTGTGGGTTCTTTTACGTCCCAAAAGAACAGATCAGTGAAAGTGCTGTGAGACGGGACCTACGGTTTTTCGTCCTTATCCAAGAAGACTAGAAAGTCTAAACATTTGCAGATGTCATTACAAAGGAAGCACTTTCTTCTCAGTTATTTAAAGACCCTAAGTGTTGGTCCGGCCGGGGTTTGAACCCGCGACCTCCCGCTCAGCAGAGCGGCGCTCTCCCAACTGAGCTAACCAGACGGCGGTTAAAGTTCAACAAGGTAACGGGCTAACAGGGTAACAAGGTAAGAGAGTAACAAGGTAACAGGGTGACAGTGTGACAGGGTAACAGGGTAACAGGGTAACGGGTTAACAAGGCAACTGGATAACAGGGTAACAAGGTAACAGAGTAACAAGGTAACAGGGTGACAGGGTAACAAGGTAACAGGGTAAGAAGGTAATAAGGTCACAAGGTAACAGGGTAACAAGGTAACATGGTAACATGCTAAAAGGGTAACAGGGTAACAGGGTAACAAGGTAACAGGGTAACAAGGTAACATGGTAAAAGGGTAACAGGGTAAGAAGGGAACAAGGCTTCTTCTTTCAGGCTTCTTCTTTCCAATTGCTTAAATTGGAAAATTTACTGCGATTATCTTTCTTCACTTTCATATACTTCACATCAAGGTAACAGAGTAACAAGGCAACGTGGTAAAAGGGTAACAGGGTAACAAGGTAATAGGGTAAAAGGGTAACAGGGTAAGAAGGTAATAAGGTAACAAGGTAACAGGGTAATAGGGTAAGAAGGTAACAGTGTAGCAAGGTAACAGGGTAACAGGGTAACAAGGTAAAAAAGTAATAAGGCAACAGGGTAACAAGGTAAAAAGGCAAGAAGGTAACAGAGTAACAGGGTGACAGATTAACAAGGTAACGGGGTAGCAAGGTAACAGGGTAACAGGGTAATAGGGTAACAAGGTAACAGGGTAACAGGGTAACAAGGTAAAAAGGTAAGAAGGTAACAGGGTAATAGGGTAACAGATTAACAAGGTAACATTGTAATAAGGTAATAGAGTAACAGGGTACCAAGGTAACAGGGTAAGAAGGTAATAGGGTAACAGGGTAAGACGGTAATAAGGTAACAGGGTAACAGGGTAACAAGGTAACAAAATAACAAGGTAACAGAGTAACAAGGTAACATGTTAAAAGGGTAACAGGGTGAAAAGGTAACAAGGTAACAGGGTAACAGGGGAAATAGGGTAACAAGGTAACAGGGTAGTAAGGTGACAGTGTAACAGGGTAACAAGGTAATAGGGTAACAAGGTGAAAAGGTAACAAGGTAACAGGGTAACAGGGTAATAGGGTAACAAGGTAAAAAGGTAAGAAGGTAACAGGGTAATAGGGTAACAGATTAACAAGGTAACAGGGTAATAAGGTAACAGAGTAACAGGGTGAAACGGTAACAGGGTAACAAGGTACGAAGGTAACATAGTAACAAGGTAACGGAGTAACAAGGTTACAAGGTAACAAGGTAACAGAGTAACAAGGTAACAAGATAACAGAGTAACAAGATAAGAAGGTAACAGGGTAACAGAGCAACAAGGTATCAAGCAAAAAAGGGAAGGTATAACTTATTATAACTCTTACGACCCCACATTAAGCCTGTGTATTTTATATGCCAGTCAAAAAGAGGACATGCGATTTTGCCTTATTCTGGTTGCCCATAGAAAAAGAAAAAAGGGTATGTAACAATAGCTAGAAAAAGTTTAATTCATACCATAGTATTGTAAAAGTCTTTTATTCTTATTTTCTAATTCTTTTACAAATGAGATTGAGCGTGTAAGTCAAACTTAAAGTTTAATTCATTAAGGTTGCTGTTACCTTATACACATCTTTATTGTAAGTTTAATGTAACTGTCCAAAGATTCTGTTTAACTCCAACAAATAGCAGTCAAGTATTTTCACTATTGAATAAACTTAGAAAATCAAAAGCAACCGGTCTCGATAAAATATCTGCGAGACTAATGCGTAAATGTGCTGATTTAATTTGCATTTCTATTTGCAAGATTTTTAATTGTTCTTTGACTACAGGTATATTCCCAGATGACTGGAAGTGTGCTAAAGTTACCCCTTTATTCAAATAGGGAACTTCGAGTGATATGATCAAGTACTGTCCCATTTCTGTTATCTCTGTGATGGCCAAGGTATTCGAAATTCAGAAAACGTACGATCAAGTATACGCGTACCTATCAGAACATAACATTATTTCAAAAAGTCAATTCGGATATTCACTCTATCCATTCTACGGTCACTGCTCTAGTAGAGTCGACCGATAGCTAGCTGGGCTTTTAAAATTGATCGTGGAAACGTTAATGCTGTAGTCTAGATTTAAAAAAGGCCTTTGATACAGTAGACCACACCATATTACTGCCTAAATTAAACGCTTACGGAATTCAACAAAATGCTTACAACTGGTTGAAATCATACTTAGAAAACTGAACTTAAATATGGTCTTTTAGTGGTTCACTTTCCAAAAACTGCTCTCTCCAGTGTGGTATCCCTCAAGGGACTATATTGGGTCTTTTATTGTTTTGCTGTACATAAACGGTTTACCAAATTGCTTAACTAACTCTTATCTTAGAATGTATACCGATGATACGCACTTTACCTACGCTGATAAAGGTGTTAATATCATTCAGTCCTGTTAGAATGAAGACTTGCTAAATATCAGCAAATGGCTGATCCCCAACAAACTCACACTTAATATGACTAAGACTGAGTTTATGCTTATCGGCTCGTGGCAAAAGCTAAACACCCTAACTGCCTCTCCCGTTCTGAGCATCAACGGTACTCCCATAAACCAGGTATCAACGTCAAAATCTCTAGGTATACTCATTGATGCAAACCTTACCTGGGGCAGTAATATCGAGAAGTTGGCTAAGAAAATTGCCTCTGGTATTGCAGCTATCAAACGGGTCAGGCAATTTGTTCCCCCAGCAACATTGCATCTTATCTACAAAGCCTTGATTCAGCCGCATTTCGACTATTGCAATGTTGTTTGGGGAAGCTGTGGCATAAAACTAGCAGACAAACTTCAAAAACTGCAAGATCGTGCAGCGCGAGCTCTAACTTTCTCCAGCTATGAGGCAGATGCATCGCAGCTTTTTCAAAATTTAAATTGGAAAAATCTTAGTACTCAGCGTGATATCCAAAAAGCCTTAATGGTTTTAAAATCCCTTAATGGCCTTGCTCCTGAGTACATAAGTTCGAAATTTACTGCTCGATCTAATACCACTTCATATACATGTTTCGAGATTCTGTAAATAAATTAACTATTCCACAGCCACGCACAAATTATCTCCGAAATAGTTTTCGCTACAGTGGTGCTGTTCTGTGGAATAGTTCTCCTGAAACGTTAAGGCAAGCAAAATCCCTACGTAATTTTAAATCACTTTTGCACAGTTATTATAATGTCAAGTAAGGCACGGCATTCATGGAAAACAGGCTTTTTTTTCGTATATACTTAACTGAATAATTTTAATACTGTATTTAGCAGACTGACCCAATGAATGTAATTAAGGTTTTCAAATTTTTTATAATATTTCATGCCTGATGAATTTGTAACACCGTGCATAAATAAAGATTACCTTACCTTAATCAAATCAGAATAACCTGAATCGCTTTTCCTCTCAACACAAAATTAAGGTGCATACTGTAAAAATCACAGAAAAAATTATAAACTGAAAAAAAAATTATCATTATGTGCCTTCAAAGAGACCAACTGTGGATCCCCGCAATGCCTCATTTATGCAATCAAATAGATATTGCCTTTAAGGCTTATCTGCTGGCAAGATACTGCAAAACTTTTTCAGTACATAGTCACCATATCGAATGGGAAAGTCCATTCGCAACTTCGCTGCCGTTTTCTCCACAGGGATTAGAGTCTTGTCCAGAGGAATTGGTGAAATCATGCAGTCAAAGCCTGGCTCATAAAACATGGCAACTGAAAGCCGGTGCTCAGTTGGGGAAACTTTCACCCTGTGCGGTCCCGCTCTGAGTGCACCACTTGTCCAGATTTCCATCATGTCTCCCAAATTGACAACAAATGAGCCTGGAATTGGGGGTACTTCAATCCACACTCCGTCTCTGGTCTCTACCTGGAGTCCGCCTACGTCATCTTGAAGGAGGATGGTTAACATGCCATAGTCAGTGTGCCTCCCCGCTCCCCATATCTCATGGCCATCCTTTGAAGAAGGGTTCGGTGGGTAGTGGAACATTGCCAGTTGAGCAAAGGGATCGTCGGTGAATTCTTTGATGAAGAAATCTCTTTCAAGACCTGCAAAAAAATAAGATGAGAAGATGGTTTTAGAACTTTTGAAAATAAACGATAGATGAGGTTCTTTCTAGTATCCGTGGTTCAGTGAAACCTGTGTTAAGTACAGTCCCAGCCTCTGCTGTTAAAGTAGAGGTGCATTTAATATGGTTGGAAAAGTTTGGGGAGTACTGAGGCTTCTAAAAATGCTATATTCTGCTTCCTTAATTTTGGTTAAGAGTGATAACCACGGTTCAGGCATGCATCTGCAGCTCTGAAAAAGCCCTCTGATGTTTTTTCGCCGAGACACTTCACTGTCATGGAAAGGAAAGAATCGCTTCTATCCCTTAACTTGAGGTTGAACACAGTAACGGGCGATAATTTTTACGATCACCAAACTTTGCGAAAAATATTGGCAAACCCCTGAAGGAAAAGGAGAAAGATTTAAACCCTAAGGATAATACATTGCTTGATGCTTTTTACTGTCACAGAAGTTCGCACTGGACTCATGTATTATAATGCTACTGAAGGGTGAGCCCATTTCACAACATGCATCATGCCTGTTGGCTCCATTGTGATACGAACAGGCAACCATCTCTTGTGAGGAACCCTTTAGCGAATGCCTCAAGACGGGATTGTATACATATTATTTCTGATCACTGGAGTTATTTTGGTTATTGGTGCAACCTGGTTTCGGCCTATGCAATCGGGCTATCTTTAGCGGCAATTCCGCTTAAGCCTAATAGACATTGAGAATAGCGGTTTATAGGGATGTTCAGATCGGTTCATACCTAAACTCAGTGCAATGCAGCTCAGCAGCTTAGAGGCTAATTCTTGTGTTCTTCTGAAGTATTCCTCTATAACTGCACGAAACTCGGGAACATATTCAGCTTTAGGCCATGGATTTAAGCCACAGAAAATCTTTTCCTTTTTCTCTTCGGGTAAATTCTTAAAATCTCGAAAATAGTAAATTCCCTCTTTCCACTCTGTGCAATTGTACTCTATGCTTCGCTCCTCCTGTTTCTTAAAATATCCGCGGAAACCATCTCTTCGATGAATTTCTTCCTTCTTCTCAGCTGAAAGGCTGAAAAATTTCCACAACTTCTCCAAAACTTTAGCTTGAAGATCTCCTGGTATTCCGTGGTTGACGACGTAGAAAAATCCGAAATCCAGACAAGCTTTCCCAACAGCTGTTGTTTCTTCACACGTTGGTGTTCTGTTTGCAAGACTAGATAAATCAATAATGGGAATTGCCATGATGATGAAAGGCTCTGGCAAAATTTACAAATCGTAAACGTTTGGAGGTTTTTGGGAAATGCGCGCACAGGAGTGAAAAACTGGGCATATTTATATATACACCATGGTTCAATATTAGATTCATATCTCTGGTATTACATATGTCAACAATACAGGTTCTCATCAGGTTTTGAAGAAACTGGGGACGAGGAAGTTAATACAGGCTTCCATGGTCACCTCACGTAGTTTTGCGGTTGCGTCGCAATATTAGGGTTTCAAGTTATATTTTCTGCATCTTTGCTGTTACAAGCGTGCCGTCTTGAAAGTTACCTCTTGTGTGACAAGATTAGCTTTTTTCATAAATGGATCAGTTGTTCTCAGCAATGGCTGATTTTTTATTAGACTCCAGTTTTCCATCACGGCTTGTTTAAGATTTTGTACAGCTGGGTGGTATGTAGAAACAACTTCACCCTTATAAGAGCCGACAAAGGTCTTGAAGCAAAGTTCACCGGCCACTGATAAAGGCTTTCCTTCATATTTTTTCCGCCTGCTTGGAGGCTAGCTTGAATTTCGCTAGGCACTCTTCAAATTTTGGTCTAGTTGGAAGAGTTTGTTGTAAAGAGTTTTGTAGACCTTTACACGGCTTTGTCTTTGATAAAAACCCTTTTTGCTCCTGGAGTGTGGCACTAGGTAAAATAATTAAACTGAAAAAAAAAGTATCGTTCGGCTTGAAGTAATATAAGTTTTTATGCCCAGGGTTAGATTCTTTTATGAATCTTTTTCGTTTAAATGCTCTATCAAGGACAGCCATTTCAGTCCTCTTCTATTTCTACCTTATACGTATTTAGAGTGTTTGAGTTGCAACGTGTTAGTTTAATTCTACTTTATTTACCGCGAGGAGGCTTGTCAGCTAAATTTCGCGGTATTGTACTGTCAAGAATAGTGATGTTCTGAAACACAATATGAAAAGTCTTTGTGTTATTTTTACTACAATTTGCTTAGATACAACATTATGCACTGATATCTTTTAAGCTAATAAAACTTCAATGAACATAATACTGATGATATTACAACAACGACCACCTTTAAGTACAAAATTCAAAGAAAAAGTTTTTCTCTAAAAAATTTCTAGGTATTTTACACGCTGACGCTGAGCGCTGATAAACTACTTGTCCAAGAGAGGTGTCCATCCTCTCTTTAGCAATTTGCAAAATATGTTGTGGTGACACAAGTGAAGTTAAATTATGTAAAGACTTTAGACGAGGATGACGTTGTGCTTTTGTCGGTTTTAGATACCACTTTGACTTTACCCACTCAAGTACGTCCACAAGAGGAGAAGAACCTCATCATAGCTAGATTTTGTTATGACATTACATGACTTTAGGTACTCGATTTTGGAGTCTAACAAGCATTTCAGTTAACTGAGATTTTATTTGCCATCCCAAACTGTGCCGCAATAATCAAAATGTGGCTAAATGAGCGCGTCGTGAATCATTTTATCATTCTGTCCAATGATAGACTTGAAGTCTTTTTAGGGGACTAGTGCGAGCGGAACTTATTTTAGCTAGGATCTTAGAAATTTCTTCCTCGTCTTTTCAGGTAAAATTGTCACCTATAAAAACACCAAGTGTTTAGCCTTCTTAACTAGGCCGATATGTTTTCCCACAATTTCAGTATGATTTGCTGACTGCTTTTCAGGCGTAGTCTTTGGCGAGAGCCAATCAACATAAATTCAGTTTTAGCCGTGAATATTTAGACTTAACTTTTTTGCCGTGGGCCACAGGTTTAGTTTCTTCAGTAGTTCATTGTTCATCTCCCTTTCCAGGACATTTACATGTAAGTCAGTGGGAGCCAAGGCAATATTAGTTTCATGCACATACATTCTGGAGACAGTTTCCTTTTTTATAAAATTTTGGAAGTCGCTGATGTATTTGAGAAAAAGTGAGGGACCAACGAAAGAACCCTGAGGAACTCTCTATGTGATTTGTTTCGCATGTGATGAGCAGCCGTTGATCTTGCAATTTTGGCTGCGATTGCTTAAATACGACCCAAACCACGTTTAAGAGTTCCCATTAATACCAAACATAGAAAGCTTTGCTAAAGAATATTTGATGGTCGATGATATTTTGTAGGTCAATACAGATGACACCATTATTTTTACTGACGAAGAGCTAGCAAAGTTGTTACTGTACTATGTAGGCATGGAAATCTGGACTAATGGTTGCCCAATAGATCGAGTCTCTCGTTAAAATTTTCATAGACTTTTTCGCAGATCACTTTTTGAAATGTTTTGGCATTTTCGAATACGAGAAAGAGGAGATATTGGCCTATAGCCGTTGACAGCTGACCTTACACCATTCTTGAAGATCGGCGTTGCCTTAGCTTATTTCCATTCACATGGAAGGGTTCCAGCATGTGCTGTATTGTTAAATATATGGGTAACAAAATATCAGTTGCTAATTTCAGAACGTTCCAACGTATATTGTTATCTAATCCAGTTGAACTCTTAACATAAACATTTTTTGAACAATTGACTCACCTCATTGACTCTTGTATTTCGTAAAGAAAAAGCTGTATTGGAAGGTGTAAGATGTCACAAGATGGAATGTTGAATGCTAAATTTGGACCTGTGTTAGTAAATTGAACCTTGAAAACTTCAGCAATGGGCCCTTTATATCTTTACAGTCACTAGGAGCGGTTCGGCTGCAGTAACATATTACCAAAACACCTTGCTGGGACGAAAATGATGCTGAGGGACCTCGAAACGCGAAAGAAAATTAGAATTTTAGGTGAGGACATCTCTTTGTTTTTCTTGTCTGAATGTGTCATTAGCGTCCCAGCAAGGTGACCGTTTAGCTGCAAAGGGCCCATTTGGGGCGAAGAAATCAATGTGCTACAGTTAATTTTAATTTCGTCTACTTAGATCTTTTCTGTCGATTTGAGGCTCATGCATTTATTTATTTCTAAGCTTTTAGAGAATCATTCGTGTTGCCGACGAAATTGTCCGGTATATATAATATTTGTTTCTCGCATTTTTCACTGCTTTGTTGAGTTATTCTATTTGTTTCTTGCTTGTTTACATTCGTTCAGAGTAACTGGATCTTTAGCCAATGTTGCTTTCTTTTTTTTCATTTTACGTAGTAAATATGAAGAAACTCAAGGGACCTTTGGTCCCCGATCTGCTCATTCTTCCCTTTTTTAATGGTGCTTATTTGTCGATTGCGGTCATAGGTATATTTTCGCATGAGCTCCACATTAGTCACCTTGCCTGGAAAACACAGAAATGCAACTCTAGTCTATCTACTTTAAACCTGCCAAACAACAACGACAATTATAGCAACAATAACAACGACTTTATTAAACGTATGAGAAAGTAAAAACACACACACCACACTTGCCAACATTTAGCAAAAGCTCTGGGTCGCGGCAAGCAGTGTGGAGACTGCAGCATACAGATATTAGATTGTTACATTTTATATAAATACTTTTCACCACTGAAACACATGAAAATATAAAAAAAGAGATGTTGCAAACAAGAAATTTTTTACATTGAAGTTCATAGTTTGCCTCGTTTCTAGTAATGAGCTACCACCAGAAAGAGTGCAAGGGGTGATGAACGGTCCATTAAAATTGTAGTTGCTCGTATGCTCGCTTTCTTGTCAGTATTGCTCGGAATTTTGTAAATCCTTCTTTGGGTTAAAGTAAGTGTAATTCTGTATGGTGCTTAATTCCTGTAAATATGGCTATCCAGTTCAGTGGAAATGCACGCGATAAATGACAACGATTAATAATAAATTAGCTATTCTACATTGTAGCTATATAATGGTTAAAAAGAGAAGATATTGTTACCTTTGATTCTTCTGAGTTTCTCACCGCTCTACTCACTGGGCTTTAATTAGGCCGTGTTTTCAATAAAACGTTTTGGAAGCTTAAGGATTCTTCCAGAGGAGATTGTTCTTGTTTGAGTTGAAATGCTCGATGAGAAGATCCACCAAGGCTTTCACATTATTTTACCTTGCTAACGTAATCTCAATGTCAGCTTCTATTTTACGTTGAATTCGTTTTAAAGCCTCCAGGGTCATTCTTGTTCTCGAAGTAGTCTTGGAGGATGGAACACCGTGAGGGCCTTCTACAGACGTTCTGCCACCGTTTTAAAAACCCCGTTTTAAAATATTTTCTGTTTTATTTTAAAGAAAAGGTTTTCCATATGGATTGCTGCAAGCGGAAAATATAAGAAGTGCTCGCTGCTTGCGAGTTGTACTCTCTAAGCTGCTTGCTGCTCGCTGCTCGCAAAGCAAATTTTTTATCTCTGCTCGTGCTCGCAAAAAAATCGCAGTGCTCGCATGGCTCGCGAATGCTCGCAAAGACCATCCGTCACCACTAGTGCAATTAATTTTTCTGGTCATGTATACCAGATAGTGATTACTGAGACCAAGGTGTTTTAAAACTCCCTAGTCAATGACATTCAAAAAAATTGTGATTCACCAGCCAGATAAAGTTTGGAAACTGTTGGCTACTCTGCTGGGTTCAGTAATCAACTGACGCAATCCATAAATATCATCTCTTATTAAAAAAACACAGAAATGTTGTAGTCTACGGTGGATGAGTTCCAAGATACAATCCCAGAGAAGTCGCGATTAAGATACCCAAGCAGAAAAAGCTCCATATTTTCCTCATCAATTTTATCACTAAAATTATCGAAAGAATTGAATGCCTCCGGAGGGGTCTTTGGTGGCCTGCACCATGTACCAGGTCAGTGAAAAATGGCATGGCTTCGAGTGGGTCGGGGGTTAGCAATTTCAACGGTTGATATATAGATTTAGCAAAGGCCAAAAACAAAGCTCTAGTGGGATCTTTTAAGAAAACTAACGACCAATTTCTTCCGTCCCCAAGGTGGGCGTTGTGGAGAGGTTCGACTTTAATTCAGGTTACGCCATAAACTGAAGGAGCAACCTGAATTCCTCCTGAAAAACTGGACCTGAGCGTGCGATCATTCAAAAACCAATAACTGATCAGCGGAAAACTTTAACAAGAACACGTTACCTCAGTGAGTTGTACACCTGAGCCCGTGATATGGTCACGTGACACTGGTCAGCGGATACCCTATTTTGACAGCTTTGAATTGACCATAGTCTGGATGTCCAATATCAAGTTAAACACAGACTTTGTATGCCTTGGACTCCGAGCTAGTAAGTGTGACATTTCACATACACTAAACTGAAGGGGTGGACGCACGGACGCACGCGTACGATTTGTCACAACCAATTTTTTTTTAATACATAGATAACCAAATACTAGAAATACGTGAATCGTAGAACCTCGCGCAGTAGAGGCTGAATGCCAGAAGAAGGAAGAACGGTAACCAATGAGAAAAAGAAAACATATGAAAATAAATGAACTGATAAAACAAAGCAACATGCAGTAACAACCAAAGAAGGAAAGGAAGAAAAAGAAATAAAAAAACGATTTACATGTTCCAGAGTCGAACCCAGCATATCCTGCGAGGAGGGTCATTTCATCACCACTTCGTTACGAGAGGATATTCATCCAATTTGTAAAAGAATATTTTATTTAAATGCTTTCCTGTGGCACTTCTGCCGGCGAGCGCCGTTAAAAGCTGATATGATCGATTCTTGTTAAACCCGAATTCAAAGAAATATTTCAGGAAAATAACAGGCCTTTCGACGATAAAAAAATCTTGCTTAAACTCATTTTATCGCATTCAAAGAACATATGCCCAACAAAGCCGATACAACTCGACTGCGAAGTAGGACTCAAAACACATGTTTTCTCACCTCGATATGCACTCTTATTTTGAAACTAATGGTCCAAATCGCTTCCATTTCTTTCTTACCTCTACATTCAAAATTTATCGCTAAAAGCATTTCGTGACCTCTAAAACGGCCGCCAAAACAACTGGGTCAGGTTTGTGGCAGTTTTGTTTGCCAGCTGTTTTTTTGCTAGGCAACTGCGGATACTAAACCAATAGAAATATAAAATGTATATGACCAAAGCAAGATCACACGCCGCTAAGCGATCCTCTTGGGAGAGTCACGCGCGGCAGTTTACGGTATTCTAATTTTCGTATTCGACTTGTGATTGTGCCCCGTTAAGAACAACCCCCCAAATTTCATCGTAATACTAAGTACATCTTTCTCCTGAAAGACGTAGATGAAAAGTATTGGATAACAACCTTTTTGTGCCCTGTCTAGTAAACAAAATTTATAGTGCCTGAAACCTAAAAATTTTTTATTATGTTTACTCAAAGAACACATTACTACGTTACGATAACTTATTCGAAAAAAATTGCGTTTTGAACAAAATGGGATTTTTTTTACAAACGCCAGGTGCACCTCTGGAATTCCCATCCCCTCCTCTATGGAGTCTCTCTTTCCCCACCCTGACAGTCTGTACGGACGGACAAAAGTCGTAAGCTGATGTCATAACCAAATCTTCTCGCGTCGTTTCCATAGGTTTCCGGTTTCTAATGATGGTTTGCACCTAATGCTATGGCGGCAATGTTAGTGGACAACGACAAAAGCATTTTTCTTCGCTGGGAAGTGAACTCCATTCTTCCAAAAAAAATTATTGTATTGACCACCAACGTACATGGCCGCCTTGTCAGGTGGTTGCAAACCAATAATGGAAAATTATAGGGGCTATGCTTCGAGCGCAAAGAAAAACAAACCATTTTTTAATCAAAAATAAAACACAAACAGCGGTGATAAAAACTGTGAACTTTCGCATTTTTATGTAAACTTGACCATTCAACATACATTTTCAAAAGTGATCTAAAGGGATTGTTACAGATTATGACGAGACTATTCATACACAATTTACTAGGGGTCCGGAAATGAGATTAGGAATTCAAAATTCTTAACAATACAAGCAAAAGCTGATAAAGCATCAGCTTTTCACTGCTGATGTTGACATTAAAAGCTGGCTTGAGATCTTGCACAGTATATACAACGTTTCTTTTATCTTGCATTTTCTTTTTGATTAAGCTACGATGGCCCAAACCATTTTTTGCCTCCAAAAAGACCTGTCGTAGAACCACCTACAATTTCTCATTCATGCAATTAACCAAATACTCTCAAGCTTATCAAGACTCATCCTCTGGCAATATACCACAATACTTTCTCAAAACATAGTCACCATATCGTATTGGGAAGTCCAATGGCAACTTTGCCACGGTCTTCTCCACTGGAATTAGAGTCTTGTCCAAAGGAATTGGTGAAATCACACAGTCAAAGCCTGGGTCATAAAACATGGCAACTGAAAGCCGGTGCTCAGTTGGTGAAACTTTAGCTCTATGTGGCCCTGCCCTGAGTGCACCACTAGTCCAGATTTCCATCATGTCACCCAAATTGACCACAAATGAGCCAGGAACTGGGGGTACTTCAATCCACACTCCATCTTTGGTCTCTACCTGGAGTCCACCTACGTCATCCTGGAGAAGGACGGTTAAAGTGCCATAGTCAGTGTGTCTTCCTACTCCCCATATCTCATGGCCATCTTTTGAAGCAGGGTGGGGTGGGTAGTGGAACATTGCCAGTTGAGCAAAGGGGTCATCAGTGAATTCTTTTGTAAAGAAATCTCTTTCAAGACCTAAAATTAAATGGGATGATAAAGGTCAGTGTTCAAAATTTTGAATACAAAAGAATGTGCTTTCTTGTGTCTACACTCCATTGAAACCTTTAACCCTCGGACATACGAGCAGATTCATGTGGTAGATGGAACCCCTCCCCGGAGTTTTCGATATGTTAGGGTATTTTGAAACGATTTTACCTTTAGTGGAAAGCCTTTGATCCTCTTAACATGATGAGGTATATTTTATGGATGGTGGCACTGAGGGAGGCCTCTGACATAACCAACAATGGTTGCCATCTTGGTCGCCATGTTGGATTTTACCAAGAATTGGAAATCAGGTTAAAACCGTGAGAAATGGTAATTTTTTTGTGCTTTACATGAAAAATAACACATACATAAACACTTTACATGATTTTAACCACAAGATTTACTTTTATTGTTGAAAGAAGTTGAAAAAACATGTAATTTCACCCAAAATTGGCTCGACCACCTGCTACTTATGGCATCATATCTCATAACCATAGCAACTGACCATCACTAAACTCGTCTCAAAATTTGCACAAGGGATGAACAAGGAGCTACTGAAAACGTTAGGAGCTGATGTTTTATCCTCTAGGAAAAAAACTCAGAAAAACCTTATGCTACCCCCCCACCCCCCCTTGAAGGTCCGAGGGTTAATAAGGGCATACTCAAATCAAAGGGCCCGCAAGTGTCTGCATTTGAAATATAGTTTCTGTTAAATACAGGCCTGATTTTCAATAAATGTGACTAGAAAAATTTCGGACTTACTGAGGCTGCTAGACTGGGAGCAGTATATTTAATGCTAGTGAGTTGTGGTGAGAGACTGAATAGGCCACTTGAGAAGGAAAAGTGAACTTCATTTTCAGTCAGTTGAATTAACCTTTTAAGTCCCGAGAGTAATCAACATTAATTTTATCCTAACAATATCCATAAATAATCAAGAGAAATGACAATAACAAATAATAAAACGATAGCCTGCAAGAAAATACTGAACTGTGTTGCTATAAATGTATCATGCCTGTTAGTTTCCTAGTGTTCATAGAAGACCATATAAAGTAACTCCTATCTCGGCATTGCCTAGTCCCTAGGCCTCATTATTCCACGCAGCCAAAGCGTTTCAGGACACGTGGTCCACTCATTCACCTTGGATACGTCACCAAAACGAATTGACCGAGAGGGACTGGGTAAACGCTGTGCAGGGACTGGGCAAACCTCGGCATACAGCTAAGGGCAGATTATGAACTGTTCAATGGTGTCAGTGGAAACATGGTTTTAATGCAGGGCAGGGTATGTTGGGGGGGGGAGGAGGGTAATCACTCTCATTGACTCAACAACCTGGTCTTCGTTTAAGTCTCTTGATCATGGAGTGAATGTTATCCTGTTTTTAGCAGTTACAAAGAGACATTCGTGGTTATTACCATTATAATATCATAGGTGACGAATTACTTCTTAATTTTGGCGCGAAATTTCAGCGTAAATTTGTAATTTCACATGTGAAATTACAAAATTGCCATGGCAACCTTCCATAAGTCTCATTGTCAAGATGGCGATGAAGTTTTAAAATGTCATGAATGAAGATGTCAGGGCACAAAAAGACGTTTTAAAAAACCTGAACACACGAAAGAGCACATCAAGAAGGATTCTGACAGGTATTTTGTCGAAAAACTCTGAACTTAAGCCAAATTTAAGGTCTAAACATTTGAGAGAGTGGAGTTCTCGATCGATACGATCCAGGATAAACATGTCAAAAATCCAAGATTGCTAATGTAATTCATCACCCATCACCCTAATAATTTCCCTCGCCTAAAGGCTCGGGAAATTATAAGGATTTGGACAAAATGCGCGTGAAATTATTCCCTAATTTCACTCGTCACCATTTGATTACACATACGAATTGGAAGACATGAACTTCAGTTACTAATTAATCATAACTATAACAAAATTTGTGATATTTTAGGCTTTTTTAAAAATTAAATTACGAAAAATTCCGAGAATTTTTGCTTGCAATGAAAAAAAAAAAGAAGCCATTCAAGTTCGTGCCCGATGACACATACTGTCCAATTATTTAGGCATCATGCGTACTGTCCGACTACACTGTCCTATTAGTGCTGAAATCAGGACACTTGATAGCCAATCAGATTTGAGAATTTTGTTATAGTTATAGTTATGATTAGGATGATGATGACAATGATTGTTACCATTATTAGAGTTATTTACCTAAACTCAATGCAATGCAGCTCAACAGTTTTGAAGCTAATTCTTGTGTTTTCCTGAAGTATTCCTTTATTACTGCACGAAACTCGGGAACATACTCCCCTTTTGGCCATGGATTTAAGCCACAGAAAACCTTTTCCTTTCTTTCTTTGGGTACATTGTTAAAATCCCGAAAATAATAAATTCCCTCTTTCCACTCCGTGCAATTGTATTCTATGCTTCGCTCCTCCTCTTTCCTAAAATATCCGCGAAAACCGTCATTTCGATGAACTTCATTCTTTTTCTCAGCTGAAAGGTTGAAAAACTTCCACAAATTTCCCAAAACTTTTGCTTGAAGATCTCGTGATATGCCGTGATTAACGACGTAGAAAAATCCGAAATCCAGGCAAGCTTTCCTTATAGCTGTTGTTTCTTCAAATGTTGGAATACTGTTTAAAAGATTAGATAAATCGATGATGGGAATTGCCATCCCGAACAAAAAATCAACAATATTCGTGACTCTTGAGAACTTTTTTCTTGAGTGGAAACTGGGTTCAAATAAGAGCTCTTCCCAGTTCCTTCTCGTCCAACAACTGCCGCCTGAGCGTTTGTTGAACGTACACTAGCCTACACTGAGATCGGAAAAATGGCGGCAGAAAGAATTCACACTCGAGCCAATCCGATGGTTAAAGCCACCTATATCAGCAAGTTTTTCACTTATTGGTAAGTTTTGATAAATATTCCGTAGTAGATTTATGATATTTAATACTATAGCGGCTGTTAACCCTGGCTGTGTTGTTTACAAGTGTCCCGTTGCAATTTATTAATAATCGAATTAATTAATGGCCTTCCAAATGAGCAACAACCGGCTACCGAAAAACCGAACGAAGTCAATGCTTGCCTCTTATACCCTATGTTTCCGATCAGAATTTCCTCCGTATATTTGGTAATAGATTCTGCTCGTGTATTTTCATCGACTCGACGCGTGCAGAACGGGTGACATTGTATTATGCAATCACGTTCAAGGCCCTCAGGCTGTGAAATCCAGGGTGTCCAGTATTCTGTGAAAAAGCTAACTAAAAGATTTTCTGGTCGCCCTGGAGCAAAAGTCAAGCGCCAGGGGCCACCATGCGATTGGGAGGGGACATTTTGTAAAATTCACGGACGACATCGGAATCAACTTTAACACTATTTTTATTGCAGGCTTTCTTCATATCAAAGCTTAGCTATCTATTATTTTCATTGACATAGCAGCAACTTAGCTATCATAGAACTCATCTAAGGAAAGCATTCTGAACATCTGTAAATTATCAGAGTGAGATGGTAGGAAAACATTGTGTCATTCACTTAGTAGGATTTTCCGTTTTGCTTTGTTGTTTCACACTCTCAATGTTCTGTCAAAGTCAAATTTCCTTCGGTCATGGAAATATTCTTTTTGTTGTGCTTTAAGCAGGTTCTGCAGAACATTTCCCCCCTGGTTATATTGAAGCCAGGTATGTTTTATTTGCTAATCAGCGAGTGTTTCAGCTTGAGGTTTGGCTCTTGCCTTCTTTGATCTTGGTTTACCTGATTCGCTTTGTCCTTGCTGTTCTTTCTTTAACTCTTTATTGCTGTCTGTGGCTTCCGGAATATTTGCTGGCTCATCAGCTGGTCCATCATCAACATCGTTCAAAGAAGCTGTTGCATTATTAATCATGAAGTGCAACCTGCTTTGTTTCAATTTTGTCGCCATGTTGAAAGCATGCCGATTGACTGGTATCACGAGGTAATACATCTAGATCCCAGGCTCCTTGCGATAAAATGTTCTTTTTGATTTTTGTTATATTACAAAATCATTCCTTGGCAAAAAAGCATCAAACTGATGCATGAAAACAATTTATTTGTGTCAGTAGGTTCTAAAAATGCGCAAATAGCACAAAACGCACTCTAGAATGAACACTGGCTGCTAGAGTACAGCCTTATTTCCTTTCCTTTTTCCATATTTCCTTTCAGTAGTAACACCATAGGACATTGCCCACGGATGCAAAAGTTAGAAATTTCACAATAGTATCATCTCACACATTACTTTCCTCTGCGGGACTGTGCCCCTGGCACCTTACTTAGTTTCTTTGCCTTTTTTTCATTGAACTCGTACTGTAAACTTCTGATTGTAAACTCTGGGCTTATACAACTCATGGGCAGATCCAGGATTTTTTTTAGGTGGAGGTGTACTCGTCTCTTGCTCTACTTTAACACCAATAAACCACATAGTTTTTTTTTTTGCAGAATACCAGTTGTATTAGAAAACCGCAGGTCATCTCGGGGGGGGGTGGGGGTGCACACCCCCTGCACCCTCCCCTAGATCTGCCCTGCAACTTTGTAAGGGGCGGTTGGAGGGCTTGGGGACTTATAACCGGACTAAAAAATGTTGCAAAACAAGGTACATAGCATTCCTGATCAAAACACTTTTTGAATTTGATTGCTTTTCTAAGCTTCAAAACATTGAATTCATTTCAGTACAAGTGAGAGGGGGGCTTATAACTGGATGTATTGTTTTGTTTACAAGTAGATGGGCCTACATACATACATACATGTTTTATTTATTTGAAATCTTATACAATAAATACTATATCAACTATTTCCAAATAACTAAAATTGCAAACAACACATACGGGCCTATGAATAAGAGGGGGTCAGGGGGGAGGGGAGGGGGTAGAAAATACTTTCTTTGATAAAATTCTAAGAATAAGTGAAAAGAAGAGGTTTTGCGTACATGTACATGTAGTTTGTCTCTTGCTAGGGAATTTGTTCCTAGGGAATATTATTTGTCCATTAATGGTTCATTACTCTCTATTACTAGGTGGATGAATGATTTGTTTGAGAGAGGATATAAGCGAAACCTTGAGAATTCTGACATTTACCAAATATTACCTGAAGAAGAGAGTGAAGATTTGGCTGACAGACTGGAAAGGTAAGTTTCAGTTTGAAGTTCAGGAAAGCGATGGCCATGCTTTTTTCAATTTTGCACTAAAAAGTGGCTATTAAATTAAAGAGAGGGGACTTATTCAGGGGCAGGGTGGTTTGTTTGAGTGGTGAACTATGGTGGAGTATGGATAATTGTTTCAATGTTATTTTTGAAACTGCTATTGAAACCAGTTGAGCAAGGCATGGGTAATTACTTGGTACACTTAACATGCTATTAAAAAAGTCTAGAATTGTTCTGAGAGAAAAAAAACAGCAGAATGTTTTTGTCAAAAGTGCCTGGTCATTGTGCTTGACCTAGCCTGAGTAGCTAGGCATTGAGAGTAGAAAAATGTATATGGCACACTCATTGAAGTCTCTTTCTTGTCTGTGCCATACTTTGTCTTATGGCAGGCCTGCTTTCTGGCCAGGCTAATTTGACAGCTCAGACTAATATATAACTGGTCAAAATGTCATACAATGTACTGTAAAGACCTGCTAATAAGAACCTACATTTTTGGAAGTCTGGTGAAATAGGTTCTTGTATTTTGGGGTACTGATTGGCAATTTAGAGCAAGTAGGTCCTTAATTCTTATGACGGAGATGATAGATTGTTGATTACCAGAAAAAATAAATAAACTTTTTATTTATTTACAATTGTATAATTAAAACCCTAAGAAAACTGATTATCAAATATATATACAGTTTAGTTCGGTATGTTCTTGTTATACTTAAAGTTACAACTCACACTCCTTTGTTAATTAAAATTGTTCATCATAATTGAAGTGTAACCCACATATAAGAACCTGCCTGATCTTGCTTGGCTAAACAGATTCTTGTATTTTTGGGTATTAAAGGGGCAAATTTCTGCCAGGAGGTTCTTAATCAGCAGTTTCTTATTAGCGGGTGTTTATTGTATTTTACTGGACAACTGTCCGATGGGTGGCAGTCATTTTCATCCTTGGTATATCCAAATGTTAACATATTTTACCTAAGATCTGGAGCTGAAGAAATGTTTTTTTTTTTATAGTTTATGGAATGAAGAATTAAAAGAAGCCAGGAGAAAAAACAGAAGACCAAAGCTGAGAAATGCATTCCTTAGATTCCTAGGATGGCAGTATTTTATATTGACAGCTTTTCCTTTTATAGAGGTAACCTACTAGTTGAAAGTCGTATGATAAGGGAAGATGGAGGGGGTTGAAAATTACTGGGAAATTTTGGAGATGGCATAATATTATACCTCAACAATTTAAATAGGCTATACACACCTTATTCTAAAATGGCGGTACAACTTTTCTTTTACATTTGAGGTTGATCAGCCCTCTTTGCCTTGACACACCTGCAGAATTTAAATAAAATTTTTCTTAGCGATGGGGCATCGATTGGGGGCCAATAGTAAGACTAAACTTAAGGACAAAAAATCAGTGAAGAAATAAATAAATATAACCGTAAAACCAAAGGGAAATAAAAGATAAACAAAGAGACAAAATTTGACACTAATTTGAAAAGAGGTGTATTATTTGGCAAATTATTTTAAAAAAATTCTGCTCTCCACAAAATAAAAAAAAAAAACAGGGAAAGAACAAGCGAAAAACACTGTCTTTAAATTCCCCACAACGCTGGAAATTTAAGGGGCTCAGCTCAGCCATGATTTTTTCAAGACAGCCAGTCTTACATGTAAAGTTGCATTTCAGTGTTGTTATTTTGTGCACTGAATTTTAGCTTTATAAATTTGTTATAGGCTTTACCTTGGTTGATGTAAGAAACGGAAACTCGCTTGTTGTAATTTCAATGCTTTAATCCTCGAAATCGGTACAAATCGTCACAATTTAATTCTCAAATTCTCGCATACAATCAACCAAAGCCTAACTCGAAGACATGCTGAACAAGCACATGTAAAACTAGTCACGTGTAATATATATTTATCGCGCCATAAAAGGAATAACAAAGTGTTCACCAAAACGTCAATCAAACGATTCTCACAATTCATGAGGTTCATGTGCAAGTGTCCACATTTAAAAGCGTGCAAAGATGATAAAAAAATTGGATTTGTTATAGATAAAAAATCCATTCACCAAAGGCTATGCAAAACTGAGGTGGAGAACTTCAATAAAATATTGATAGCTTTACTCTACAAATAATTTAGTAGTTTATAAAGAAAAACTACCTACTATACCTTCAGACTTGTGAATCGGCTTCTGATCATTTTTTAATTCCTGCGTCAAGAAAAAAGTCAAGCAGATTCACTATTTAACGTTTTAGCACTTCCCTTGCTGTCAAGTTTGTCACGTTTGTCACTCGGATTACACATTTGTTGAACACATGCATTTCCTCACTTTAACTCACAAAGGAAAAATCCGGCTCGAAGGACCATGTCAGTGATACGACAATACAAGGTTCTCAGAGAGGCAAAAGCACAAAACTCCGAACACGACCACACTTGCCCCTTAGCAACGTGAAATTTAATAGGAGTCTGGTCACTCTTAATGCCGGTTCATATGTCACGTTGCTTTGTTTTTCAATAGGCGCACTAAACGAGAGTTAAGGTTTTTTTTACATCTTCAGGCAAATTCATTAGGATTTTTGTCTTGTTGTCGCCGCAAGAATCTTTTTATAGCATTTTAATGTCATATCTCCATTGTAAGAGCTTACACATACAGCTGTTGGTTAAAAAGTTGGCAAATTCCTTTTTCTCTTGTAGGAATCAATGAAAGTCGTTGCCCCTTTGATTATCGGCAGATTGCTCAGTTACTTCACTCCTGTTCCTGGTATTAGCAAAACGGAGGCCTACATAATGGCTCTACTTCTGTCAATCACTGATCTTACTCAAGCGGCGATTCATGCACCCAATTTTTTCAAGAATCATAGACATGGCTTACATCTACGAATTGCTGCAGGAACAGTTGTGTATAGGAAGGTTGGTACTTAATTGATGTATGCTAGTATTGAATTCTTTGTACGTATAGTTTCGCGCTCCAAGGGTGTTTTTGTACAGGGTCCTTACATACACTATAATCTTTATGTTGTATTTATTCTCTTACCCTAACATTTTGTATAGTGTACTGTACTAAGGAAAAATTTGTTGATGGTAAAGGCATTTTTTTCTGGGGGGGGGGGGGGGGGGGGGGGGGGGGGGGGGTAATTTCCCCTTTCCTTGTGAGTGTTGGTGTGTGGGTGTGGGGGGGGGGGTGTGGGTTGGGTTGGGGTGTGTGTGTGTGTGGGGGGGGCGTGGGGGGGGTGGGGGAGAGGGGTGGTCATTTCCGCCTTCCTCATGACTGTTGTTGATTAGGTGGCGATATTTTTGCTGGTTGTTCAAAAAGGATTAGAACTCAATGTAGATATTGACTGACTTCTTTCACTTTATTTCCTTTTTTATTTTTAAATAAATGACCGAGGGTTAGACCGATAGTAGTTTTTAACACTTTGTTTTCCCTTATACATTCAGGTGCTACGACTAAGTCAGACCGCCTTATCAAAAACAACAACTGGTCAAATAGTGAACCTGATGACTAGCGATGTACAAAAGCTGGAACAGGTTTGTACTAAAAATAGTGTGCTTGCTTGTAACCGCAGTTTAAACTCTTGAATCAGCTTTCCATGAGTGATATCCACGTGCCCCAATATCGTCTCAAGAAACGCGGCTTTATCTATACGGATACATTATAATTACTGTTTTGCCTTGCCTCTTCGTAAGAAGGGTCAGAAACGGTTTGTCGAAAATAGAGTTTCATGAGAATAAAGGCTTTTTAAAGCGATCTCAAAGGTGAAATCTTTTGAAAACGTAGGTCTACCGTCTTGCTTGTACATGGCCAAAAACGAAGGTTTAATGCTGTTGTCGTAGCTACACATGCACGACTCTGTTTCGTTCACAACTAGGGCGGATAAAGGTTGGGCGATGAAACGAGCACTCCGCTCTTCAAGTGATCTGTGATGCGGTGCAGGACTGGCACGAGTGCTCTTTCCACGCGCCCGGTGTGCTTGAAAGCCGGCGAAATTTTCCTTTTTGCAAAGCGGAAATCCTACTTTCTTTCGGTAATTTCAGCCTACAGTGTGAAATACGTAAATTCGTTTCATAACAATATTGATAAACAGTTTCATATGTTTTTGTCTGTATGCGTATAAGCAGAAGAACGCTTCTGGTATAAGTCAAACGTGTCCCCTTGTGTCCCCCTGTGTCCCCTCGTGTCCCCTTGTGTCTCATGTCCCCTTGTGTCCCTTGTGTCCACTGTGTTTCCTTGTGTCCTGTGTCCCCTTGTGTTCCCTTGTGTCCCCTTGTGTCCCTTTGTATGACTTGTGTCCCCTTGGGTCCGCTGTGTTCCCTGTATCCCCTTTTGTTCCGTGTCCCCTTATGTCTCCTGTGTCCCCTTGTGTCCCTTATGTCCCCTGTGTCCCCTTGTGTCCCCTTGTGTCTCCTGTGTCCCCTGTCTCCCCTTGTGTCCCCTGAGTCCCTTGTGTCCTCTGTGTCCCTTTGTGTTACCTTGTGTCCCTGTGTCCCCTTGTGCCCCCTTGTGTTCCCTTGCATCCCCTTGTCTCCCCTGTGTCCCTTCGTATTCCCTGTGTCCTCTTGTGTCCCTTGTGTCCCCTGTTTCCCTTGTGTCCTTTGTTTCCCTTTTGTCCCTTGTGTCCCCTGGTGTTCCGTTGTGTCCCCTGTGTTCCCTTGTGTTGCCTTGTGTCCCGTGTGTCTCCTTGTGTCCTCTGTGTCCCCTGGTGTTCTGCTGTGTCCCCTTGTGTCCCTTGTGTCCCCTGTGTCCTTTTGTGTCCCCTGTGTCCCCTTGTGTCCCCTTGTGTCCCCTGTGTCCCCTTGTGTCTCCTGTGTCCTCTGTGTCCCTTTGTGTCTCCTGTGTCCCTTTGTGTCCCGTGTGTCCCCTTGTGTTCCCTTGTGTCTCCTGTGTCCCCTGTGTCCCTTTGTGTCTCCTGTTTTTCACTGTGTCCGCTGTGTTCCCTTGTGTCCCCTGTGTCGCCTGTGTCCTCTTGTGTCTCCTTCTGTCCCCTGTGTTCCCTTGTGTCTTCTTTTGTCCCTTGTGTCCCCTGTGTCCCTTGTGTTCCTTGTGTCCCCTTGGTCCCTTGTGTCCCCTGTGTGCCCTTGTCCCCTGTGTCCCCTGTGTCCCCTGAGTCTCTTGTTTCCCTTGTGTCCCCTGTGTCCTCTTTTCTGTTTGGAAAAAAAAAGAAATATATGGCGGCGTTGCCCTTGTTTCTTTTATGGCGCGAAAACTTTGATGGGTTTCATTGCTTTCATATGACAACATGCGGGGTTTTTTTGCACGCTCAGGTGGTCAGAGGATGTGATTTTTCATGAAAATCAAAACATAATGTTCTGCTTGACTTATTTAGAAAATAATTTGTGAAATTTTTAGTAACAGACTAACAGGTCTCTGATTTATTAAGTTGGGCGACCAACATGGAGGCTTGGGCACCTCAGCTAAAAAATTTAGCAGCCCGAAGGGTTAATCGAAAATTTTATTTGGGCGACCATCTTTTAGGCCTGGGCACCCCATCTAAAATGGTTGGGAGCCCGAATCCCTGAAAATTTTCCTTAAACCACAACCTTGCGCCCTGTAGTTATTGGAAGTCTGATACGTTACGTGCTATTGTTGAATGTGGAAGTGCATTTATTGAGGATGTTAGTAAAGCTGGAATGCAAATGTTAGCGAACTACTCCGTACTCTTAACATATATGGTGGTAGTATTGATGTAAGTTTTGTTTTGAGGAGCAAAGGAACCCTTGTGTGTAACTAATCTTCTGGTGTATTTAACAGAATTATGTCCGTCTCTCCTGCACACATTTGCTGTTGATACACTGCTCAACTTTCCAATGCCATTTAACATAATTCTCACTTACACCGACACATCCCGCGTAAACGCCTTCAGGCGTCCTCTGGTTCTCACTAAGACACAGGGAAGTAAACAGTGAAAGTAAGGGGCAACTAATTTTAAAGTTCCGAAGAAACAGAAAGACACATAGGATGTTTTGTGAAAATAACAAATAAGCGTTATGGTGTCTCAGATTAAGCATAATTAACCTTGCACGAGTTGCACGCATTTATAAAATACCGTACACGTTATCTAGTTAATAAAACACCATATGCTGTCTTTTAGTTTTGCCATGGACTAGGTTTTGCTTCGTGTATTAGACAGTTTTTAGTTGTTGTTGTTTTTTTGAAGAATGTCGACAGTGGCGAGTAGTAGAACGAAAATATAATTGGTAGTCATGGAAGTAACCAGAGAAACCTTTGTCTACTTCAATTAACTAAACCTCCCGCAAAAAATAGCAACATTTGCCTCTCCTAGACAATGTACTTTTAGTTTGAGTGGTATGAAGCTCAATCCCAAAAAGGCTAGAAAACTCTTCGTTCTCCCTATTTTTCTTCGATTATTGCAGAGTTGGAAAACTCATATCTCATTTCCCTGTTATTCCCAACTTGGCGTCACTTTGATCTGTAGCTCATAATTTGATCCCAGTCCACTGCATCACATCTGTTTGCTCGGAAGCGCTTGTTTCATCGCCTAACCTTTATCTGCTCTGGGGCCTGTCTCTCGAAAGGCCAGGAATCTTTTCGGGCAGGAAGGCAAATTTTAAAAGCAAATCCTGTTGAATTGTAGCACAGTTCCTAGCTCACAGACCAGTCCAGTCAATTTTGCTTCATTAACTGATAGTTTCATTGTATCGTTTTAAGAATTATTGAAACTTTGACCTTGAATGCAAACACGCGTATGGCAAATATAAATCAGCTTACCGGGCCCGAAAAGTTACTGTGACTTTCGAGAAACGGGCCCCTGGTCACAACATAGCAACAATCCAGGAAATTAAAAAGAAACTTGTCTGAGAGGAGCCTGGGAACGAAAGCGTATCATTAGAGATGTATGCGTTTTCAATGGCTAACGTTGGTGGTTTACCATTTACAAAACGTTTTGGGAAACTTTCGGTTAGAGAGTAAATAGACACTTAATTCTGGGTCGTTCCAGTGACAAATTTCTGGGAGTAGCGGAGTAACGTCTGGAAAGGTAGTCTTGTTTTTCCCGTGCGAATGCTCCAAGTGGAAATTCGTATTCCATGAGTTCAGAACCACTTTTAATAGCAGTTTCAGGCTTTTGCGGCCATCTCTGCGGTAAGTGGGATTGATTTGTGCAAGAGGTAAAGCTGATTCTTTGTTTATTATTTGCCCAGATCGTGAACCGATCGGTTTGTCCATTTAAATATAATGGTAAACAACCTAAGTGTGGACACAGAGGTCTTTAACGGTTTCCATTTTGGTGACGCGAAAATGGAGGTTTTCGTCAACACCTTTTTGTGGACATGTCCTCAATCAATTGCTTAATGACCCTTCCGACCGATAATGTTCATACTTACCTCGTAGGTCCTTCCTAAGAATACTCATATTATATTTTCTCTTGTTCTAATTTTTCAAGACAACAGTGTTTGCCCATTACATCTGGATAGCTCCTTTGGCAGTATGCGTTGTAGCATTCTTTTGCTGGCAAGAGGTTGGGCTTGCTGTTCTGCCTGGAGTTTTTCTATTCCTTTGTCTTGTACCGTTCCAGTGGTGGATTGGACGATTCTTTGTCCGTTTGAGGTACTGTTTGACTAGTGTTACCATATGAAACTACAGTCTAACCTCTCCTTACGGACACCTCTATAATAGGGACACCTCTCTAATACGGACGGTTCGTTTGGTCCCAGAAATGCCAAAAACCATACATTCTCTACCTCTACAATACGGTCACCTCTGTAAAGCGGACAGTTGGTTCTGTCCCTTTGGTGTCCGTATTAAAGAGGTTTGACTGTATAATATTACAGTAAACAATTTACAAGGAAAGTCCCGCAAGAGTGTTTGCGATAGTTTAAAAGTGTTTTCTATGTTGTGGTGATGATCAAATTTCAGTGTGGTATTGCAGTAATTTTACCCCTGAATGGCGTTTTTTCCGACCGCGTGGGATCAGGTATTTTTGTGTTTGGAACGATTGACTTTGCGGCATTTAAGTGTGCGCTGCTTTGTGCGCTGCTCTGTGCGCTGCTCGCCGTATGGTGTTCTTATGTTTTTCATTTTGTCATGAATTAAACTTGATTCAAAGAAACAAAGTTTAAAAAAATACCGTAAAATTCCGAAAATAAGCCCCCGGGCTTATATTTTTCAAAGGTCCTTTTTGAGGGGGTTATTTTTGGAGGGGCTTATATTCGGAGGGGGCTATCTATGGAGGGAAATTCGCGCTCCAAAATCAATTGAGCTAGCCTTATAGCTGGAAGAAAATTTACCGTTTTTGCTTTAATTAACTTTGTATTTGAGGGCAACTTCCTAGTACAAGCCCCCCCCCCGGGGGGGGGGGGGGGTTTTTTTTGGGGGGGGGGATTTACGGGGGGGGTTTTGGGGTTCGGGGTTGGGGGGGTTGAATGGGGGGGGGTTTTTTTTGGGGATTTTGGGTTTTTGTTATTTTTCTTGGTTTTTGTGGTTTTTTATGGGAGTCGCCCCTTGAGATTTTTTTTCTTCATAGATCGGTGGTGTGATCATTTTATATTTTTAAAAGGTCCTTTTGGAGGGGGTTATTTTTGGGGGGGCTTATAGTCGGGGGGGGCTTTTTTGGGAGGAAAATTCGCGCTCCCAAATCATTTGATCAAGCCTTATAGTTGGAAAAAAATTTTCCGTTTTTGTTTTAATTAACTTTGTATTTGGGGGCAACTTTCAAGAAAACGCCCCCCCCCCGGGGGGGGGGGGGGCTTATATTCGGAGGGGCGATTTAACGGAGGGTTTTTTGCGTTACGAGTTTGGGGGCTTAGACATGGAGGGGCTTATTTTCGGAATTTTAGGCTATTCGTACTTTTCTAATGCTCTTGGATTTTCAATGAGATGCGACCACTAAGAATGTGTTTCCTCAGAGGTCCGTCGTGGTGATAGACGGAAACAGAAACTGACGAAAGCGTAAGTTAAATTTTTGAATTAAAAGGTGATAAGTTATTGAAAGGCGCAGTAAACTTGAATTTAAAGAGCGTATCACTGGGATGACATTGTACAGCAGAAGATTTTAACTAAAAAATTAGATTACAAACAAACTGGAAAAAACACTGAAACTGGGTAAGCTTTAGGGGAGAGTGAATTAAATTTTTTTTTTTCAGATCCAAAATTGCAGCCCTTACAGATGAACGCATCAAGGTGATGAATGAAATCATCTCTGGAATGAGAGTCATCAAGATGTACACCTGGGAAAAACCTTTTGCTAGGCTGGTAGCCAATCTTAGAAGGTTTGCTCCCATTATTTTACCTGAGCTTATTATTAATTCATGAAGACGAAACAATAGATAAGAAAAGTGTGACGTCACAAAATTCAAATTTGTAAAATTATGGTATTGGAAGGCATATTCAGAGCAAAAAAGATGAAAGAAGCCCCCTTGCAAAAAAATCAGCCTTTTATTGCAAATTGGCGGGGAGATGTATGCACCTTTAATCCTCTGATGACTCCGTACAAATCCTTCGAAAATTGGCTTGGATCGAAACGTTTACGATCCAGCCCTATTTTATACGAATTTGTATGGAGTCATCAGAGCATAACATTGCTTATATCCCCCCGCCAATTTGCACTAACGGACTTTTTTTTGGCAAGTGAACATTTTTTGGCTTGTTCTTTCTTGATATGCCAACCTATCCCATAATTTCACAACTTTAGTTTTTGTGACGTCATCACTTCTCTTCTCTAGTAAGGCAAAGACAAATCATTTTCAACCTGTTTGAATTGTACCTCCTCATTCTAGACACCAACCTCACGTAGCTATAATTAACGAACAGTCCCTAGCATACAAAAGTGTTTGCATGTCATTCACTATCACACACATTCCAATGTTCTTATGGCGTGCGAGGAACATTTAGTCATATTGTGTCTACATACATATTTCTATGTTTGTACTTCTTATCGTGTATGATAGAAGTACAATAGAGCCTTTTCATAAGTATTTCACCAGCTCAGCTTGCTCAAAGAGCCATCGTGTACAATGTAGTTGAACATTCCAAAGTAGAAATACAAGCAGCATTTAACTGTAGTATGGTTTACTTTCCAGACAGGAGATCAATCAGACAAAGTGGCACGCATTTTTCCGGGCCATCAATGGTGCATTCTATATTTCCGCTCTGGCAGTAATAAGCTTTGTTGTTTTCACCACATATGTGATGACGGAGCACACAATAACCCCAGAGAGGGTATTTGTTGTTCTGGGTCTGTTCCTGTCAGTGAGAGTGTGCTTCACGTTATTCTTCTCTTTGGGCATAATGTACGTAAGGGAAGCAGCAGTGACAGAGAAGCGAATACAGGTAAAGTTGTTCGAGAAAAAAATTAAGCTTCTTTAATGTGGACTATTTAGAGCTGATTGCACGTGAGGCTGATGCCTTTGTTGTGTGGAAGTGTACACTGGGATTGTTTTGGGGATTGATTTTGCCTGCGCAACCTCGTAATGCAATTGTCTTATAGCCAATGAAAGACGTGATAGCGTCCCTAAACACCCATAGTTCATTTCGACTCAGCACTGACCATGTCTCACGTGTGACATCAATATGGGTGATATGCCTCCTAGGGTGAAATCGCAGAATATTAGCGTCCGAAGCTTCGTAGTAAATGTTGAACACAGTGTAAGGGGAGCTCGGACCTTTACGGAAATTTATGCCAATTGTGGTCTATTTTAAATAAAGTTAATTGGAGTGGTGAGAGGAATTAGGTTGTTTTGGACCATTTTTCACTTGAAAATTGTTAAAAGGAATTCTCCTCAAAGCCCAGCTGAGTTAGCTTGCACCACAGAAAATATTGACTTCTGGCTAAGTCCGTCTTCGAAACAGCGCTGAAATCCTTGTTCTGGATCCCCACCTGTGTACCAGGATTTGAGCATGCACCATGATTGGCCTGTTAAAAAGCCATTGACAATTTGTTAGTCAGGTTGAAGGGAAATTGGAAACGCATTTCCGGTAATACATTAGGTCCTTTGGAGGCCCAAGTACAAGGATATCGGCGCTCACCCCACTTCGCAGACGTTACTAACGACGCAGGCTAAAGGTGATATTACACGGGACAATTCGTAACGATGATTTTTAGCGCAACACAGCGTTGCAATGTTGGAACAATGTTGTAACTATTCGAAACAATGTTGCAACAATGTTGCAACACTGTGTTGCGCTAAAAATCGTCGTTGCGAATCGTCATCACCTTAATCCGAATTTCCTCCATATAAAAAGCCCTCCTTGTATCAATCTCGTCCAAATAAATGCCTTCAAAATGTTTTTATATACATATTTTATCGTCATTCGTGAAACTCGAAAGGAATATCCTGAATCGATGGATATCAATATCTATGTATATCTAGACTGCATATTGATAATCTGTTCCTAATTTTGTTTTAGAAATTCTTAGAGCTTGAAGAGCGAGATCCAAATATGTGTGTCCAAGAAAGTAAAAGTGAAGCTGATGTTCCAGTTGTAGTGCTGAATAATATTACTGCTTACTGGGATAAGGTAAAAAATCAACATAACGTTTTTGAATATAAACCATGCTATTATTTTAAGCAACAGGCATACAGCGTTTTGCTAATAATAATAATCAGTCAGCCTATCAACAAGTTTTCTGCTGCTCAGATTACACTACATAAAGAAAGAGTAGATGTTAAGTAGTGGATAGGAGATGTCTTTGTAGGCCCCGTTTTAAAGACCTTTATTCCCACTGTTATAGCGTCCCCTTCTCTTCGCTCATAAGGTCTCTTGTTTAGTTAACCAACACAAACATTGAATGAGCACCTAGCATATTATACCTTTAACCTATGACGAACAATTACTGGCAGGTGCATGAAACATTTAAGCATTTTCTGGTAACTGAGTACATTTTTGTCATCTGTTTCAGTCGTTAAACCCCACCTTGAAGGACATCACCTTTGAAGCCAAATCGGTACGTATTTCTGTTGAATTTAAAAATATGTAGTTACGTAACGTTTTCGTCAAGTATGAGTGACCGTCATCAAAACTGATGGTTGTTTTCCGTTGTAAATTTTACTGGAAATATTATGGGTTTGCCCATATTTCCCTGGTTCTCGTGGTTTCCCTTTGACCTTTTGTTCCCTTAGTCCTGGAACCTGAGCGTGTGTTTGGTCATAGCGATGGCTGAGAGATGAACAATGACTAAAGAATGAAAAGTTAGGTGAGAGCTCGTTGCTCCCGTGAAGACATTTACCATCACCTTATCATCACCGGTATCGAACCTCATGCTTGTGTCCAAGGCGTCAGAAAAAGTAACGGCTACGCAACTCTGGGAATATTTATGTTCAAATGGATGAAATGAGGAACTTCAGTCTGCTTATAAAGCTAATCATAGCTGTGAAACAGCTCTGATTCGAGTACAGGATGATATCCTCAAAGCCATCGATAGTCATCTCGGTGTTTTGCTTTTGCTAGTGGATCTTTCTGCAGCCTTTGATACGGTTGATCATGAAATTCTTCTAGGAAGACTCTTCTCTAGGTTTGTTATCAAAGAAAAAGCCCTGGATTGGCTACGATCTTACCTTACAGACCGTACGCAGCTTGTGAAAGTGGACGACGCTTCATCCACGGTACGACCTCTTCATTGGGGGTGTACCTCAAGGTTCGGTCCTAGGCCCTATGTCTTGCTTATTGTATACATCTCCACTGGGTGATATCGTTCGTGAGCATGGCTTGTCGTTTCACTTTTATGCTGATGACTCGCAGCTTTATACATCTTTTGCTCGCAATGACACCTCTGATCTAGTGGCTGCAAAACAACGTCTTAAGAACTGCGTTGCTGACATCAATTTGTGGATGACTACCAACAAGTTAAAGCTTAACAATGATAAATCAGAATTTCTCTTTCTGCACTCCCGTTTTCGTCATTCGTTGTCCCCTCCCACGATTTCTCTTGGCATGGAAAACATCAGGCCCTCTCAACAGGCTCACAATCCTTGCGTGATTTTTGACGACAGAATGTCACTTTCACCACATGTTAATACAATAGTTAAGGGTACCTTCTATCACATACGAAATATTTCTAAAATAAGAAAATACATCAGTAAAAGTACCACAGAAATTCTAATTCACGGTTTTGTCACCTCGAAGTTGGACTTTTGTAATTCTCTTCTTTTTGGTGCCCCAAAACGGGTCATAGTTAAGTTGCAGTCCGTTCAAAATGCGGCTGCTCGAATTATAGCCGGTCTCAAAAAACGAGATCACATCACCAAGACTCTAAGAGATCTTCACTGGCTTCCTGTTGAGGAGAGAATTGTTTTTAAAATAAACTTAATAACTTTTAAAACATTGAATGACTCCGGTCCCCGTTATCTTGAAGATATTTTAAAATTTTAACATCAATCAAGGACATTACGGTCATCAAGTAATCATTTACGCCTTGAAGAACCAAACTTTAACATGAAAACTTATGGCCAGCAAGCGTTTTCTGTTGCTGTCCCCCGACTATGGAACAAGCTCCCCTTTGAAATTCGAGCTTGTTCTGATGTTAATCTTTTTAAATCTAAGTTGAAAACGTTTCTTTTTAAAAAGGTATATGACATTTAGTTTCACCATATTTGTTTTTGTTTTCTTTGCGTATGCGATAAATTTCCCAATATGTACGGTAGTGTTATATGTAAGCTTTTGATTAATGATATTCTTATGTCCTTTTTTACATTGTAAAGCCCTTAGAACAGCAATGTATAAGCGCTATATAAATTCTATTATAATAATAATAATAATAATAATAATAATAATAATAATTATTATTATTATTATTATTATTATTATTATTACCTTAAATGACTGCGATAAGACAATGTTTTTTTCTTGGAAAGGTTACTTATCGGTTGGTTGCTAGTGAAGGTTGGTCGTTCTATCCGTCACGGAATAAAAACAGTAGCAGGTCATAGGTTATCATAGCCAAACAGTGAAAAGTCTTGAAAATCCGCGAAACCTAAGCTGGCTTATTCTAAGAGCGAGGCTGCACTCTTTTTTTTTCCTCATTGTCTTTTGCCGTTTGGGTTTCAAATAGTCCAGGGACTTTTTAGCACAGTTATGGGCCCTGTTAGGCGAGGGAAAACAGTTAGAACCATCTTTTTGATACCCTGCAGAGGAATTTTTTTTGAAGAATTATTTCTTGCAGACGCTTGAAAGCGTTTGCAATAAGGTAAAAAAGATATCTAGTGAACAACAATAACAACTTTATTACACATTAAACAGTTTACAAATAGAGGAAGAGGACAGGAAAGAAAATATTTAAAAAAACAAGGAATACTAATAATTTTACTAAGAGAACAAAAAGTAGATACCCTACACTGCGTAATTATTTGCTAAAAATAGTTCAATCTATTAAATACGTTACATCTATTTTGAAGAGCTTGGGCGATTTATTTGAACGAAAGTATCGGCTTCAGCATAGTCGTCCTTATCCAAAAGAGCATCGAATAAAAATCCACGAATTTAAAAGTATCTCTCCAGTAGGAAGGAATTAGGTTCCATACTTTTGCTCCAGGTATTGAAAATGAGCGCTTGAAAATTTTCAACTTTGCCTCTTTCTGTTAATAATTGCCTTTAGTAGCATGCTTTGTATTGTATCTATGAATTTCATCTGACCAGTTGACCATTGTTTCAGTGATGAGAGTTAACACTGTATTAGAGTTATCCGGTATATACATGTATAGCATGAATTTATACGAACAATGCATGAGTCAATATTATAATAGGCTTGTGTATGGATGATTAGTATGTTTTCTTTTTTGGTTAGGGAGAACTCCACATTGTTGTTGGGCCAGTGGGAGCGGGAAAGGTAATGAAAGTTTTAGCTGTACTAGCTAATGTGTGTAGAAGCACTGTATGCTGCAAATTGTAAATTGTTTACCGACGGAGCACTTAAGGGTTCTTAAGAATTCGTTGAAACGTGTTCGTGCCTTCCAGATCAAAATGGAATTTGGAAGCGTTTTTCTTTTTAAGGAGAAGGCAATACCAAAAAACCTAGAGAGAAACCTCTCTGAGCAAGGGAGACAAGCAACAACAAACTCAACTATTTTATTCAAACTCGGGCCACATTGGTGGCTGCGCCACCCTTGCTTTCATTATTAGACGTTTAACGAGGCAAAATGTTGACTTTTGACATTTATACCAAGTTTTCAAAGGCACTGTATATGGCGCTCTTGTAATGGTACTTCTGTGGTGCAATTTAGCTTTCAGTGAATAAGAACTCTAGGAAGAAGAGCGCTACTGCATCGAATAAATATGTTGGTAAAGGTTCGGTGAGGATGCGAACAAGCCACTTTCTGGCTGAACGTTTGATGGTTTTAGGCAAAATGATTTGGCCACAAAATTACAAAACACTTTAATACCAGACAAGTTTATCTTTGATCTTCAGACCTCATTGTTGATGACCATGCTCGGTGAGCTGGCAATTTCTGATGGTCAGAGGCAGGTTCGTGGTAAAGTGGGCTATTCGTCCCAGCAACCTTGGATTTTTTCAGGAACAGTCAAAGAGAATATTGTGTTTGGTCAAGAATTTAACCAAGTTCGGTACCAGCAAGTCATCAATGCCTGTGCTCTTAAAAAGGTTTGTCTCCTCCTTAAAAATTACAAAGTTCGCCACTTACACATCTTCCAAAATGCACCTTGTTTGCCCCCCAAGATTTTGCTCAAGTGTTGTTTTCAATTCCTTTTGAGATGGCTGTAATACCGAGGAGAAATGGAAAACAAAGGTTATACAGAATGTTTGGGGTCAAACAAGGTGTATTATGGGAGATGTGCAAATGGCGGTTAATGTTTACCAGGGCGAGAATGAAGCTGACTCCTCTTTGCGATATTCATTTTCTTCTACTGTTACATCAACCAATTGCCACTCATTCTATTTTTTTTGTTTTACTGTTTAACTTAACACTTTAGTTAGTTCAGGGTCGGCTTGTTCAAAGCTGGGTTAAGTTAACCCAAGGTTAGAGCCAAATTTTAATACAGATATTGAAATAGTTTTTTTTGTCAACAATTTGATGACTGGGTGCTCTCAAAAAAGTAGAGAAACTTATCCAAGAAAAAAAAAACTTTTGAACGAATGCGGCCTGCGTTAAAATCTAACCCCGTGGTAGCGCCAATCGACTTTCCACCAACTGGGCCCAGGGTTGCCTATATGACCTAAATATAACCTGTCCACTTCCATGACCACCGAATTGTATTTTGCAATGTTTACATTTCGTCAGTTGAACTTGTGCTGATTATGTTCCTTTTCTCACTTTTTCTTGCCGTGGGATTTGACAGACCGTGTTACACTCCTTCTATAATTAGCGCGTCGTTTCCAAAATTGATAATATTTATTAGATTTAAATGCGGCTAATTGACTCTACGGGTGTGTGTGTTCCTTTCGGTGAATCCAAAAACGGATTTTAGATCTAAGAACGGATTTCGCGTTCCTTTTGGCAAATCTAAATCCGGATATTTGATCTGGTGAATCCTTTTTGAAAAAGGATTCATTGGATTTGAAATCCGAAGAAGCCAAATCCAGATTAACGGATTAGTGATCTACGCTGTTCCATTTACAGTAGATCCGAAATTAGTCAGATGATCCAGCGGTATTTCCAGTTGAAGTATTCCCTTAGAGGCCGTAGAGTTTCCTTGTTGCTGTCATTTGCCGCAAAACATCTGAAAACACTAGAAGATTGTTCCTGGTACATAAAAATATCCATATACTAACTGTTTGTCTCTAAAGATTGCTTGAAATCAGAAATAAGTAAAAGTAACAAATGGACTGCTATCTAACTACAAACTCGCTTGTAGACGCGACAGGCACTCGATCGTGTTACATAAAAAAATCCGAGCTATGGAACTGGATCAAACTGGCCGACATTCTTTAGATAATTTTCAATTTTAATGCGCTTCTTTCTTTGTCTGTTTTATATGTTCCATCGTCGCTATTCGAACTGCCGACCACTAAATTCTGCAGGGTATAATCGCATAATTTGTCCAAGAGTAGAAAACACGTCATTTTTTGAGAGGCTGTCGTGCATATTGCACGACAGGCGAAAGGTTACCAAGGTTACAAATCCAATTTCGGATTTCACGTTCCTTTCGACCGCGAAATCTGGCAAATCTGGGATCAAAAATCCGTTTTTGGATTCGCCGAAAGGAACACACCCTACATTGCCACAACCTTAGCCAGCAAGGTTTTATTCTTCCTATGTATTAATAAAAGACCTGCATTTAAACCTCTCCTCTAACTTGTGTTACAGGACTTGAAACTTTTTCACAGTGGTGATTCCACTCTGGTAGGAGAAAGAGGTGTGGTACTAAGTGGTGGACAGAAGGCACGCATTAGTTTAGCAAGGTCCGTATGGCATTGTGTTTGCTTTGTATTTAATTATGTTTTACTTCTGAATTATCCGTTCCCAACAACTGTGGCTCTACCTGCTTTGCTATTTGTCTCTTATCTGCGCAATTGCATATGAAGCTGTTTTAGCTGGCTTAGTGACCCTTGACTGTGGGTTGTTGAATTTTGTTTATTTCTAAAGTAAATAGAAATCAATTGTCATTTTGACACAGTCACGCTGCTCAGTCATGTGGGCTTACTGTTACTGGAAGGTAAGAGAAATAGAGGAGTGTGGGGGACACTCATTGCGTTCGCGAACCGCAACCCCTTATTTTGTGTTGGGTTGCCTGTTTCTCTTTTTTTAAAGGTTCCTGTGGTTGCGTTAGCCAGAACGTTTTGACATTCCAAACATTCCGATGGTTACTTAAATGGCGCCCCAGATGTTTTTTGGAGGGGCTTGTGTCCATTGCGCACCCTCAGCCTTTGCAGCCAATCAATTCTCGTGGGTGCGTCGCGTGCGTTTTTCTTTCTTTGCGTAGATGTTTATTCCTTCGTTACGTAGCACTGTTTTTTCAGGAATTTTCATCGCAAAAACGTTTTCCTTTCGTTGCAGAGCTGTGAACGTAAGTAAGTAGGGCAAAGAAATGCTTTGGGAACCAGTTAGAACTGAAAACGTTTTGGCGAAGACGAAGAGTTTGAAAGGAAGTGACAAGAAATTTCCGAGAATTGAGGCGATACTTACTTTCACTATATGCAAATGAGGACTAAATGAAAATGTAATGGCCACATTATAAGCGTGCGATTTGTTTTGAGGGATGATTTAAATGGGCCATTATTTTAATCGCTTCTTGGTCTAGTGATCGCGTCACTAGAATTTCCCACATAAAACTGTTCCTCCGCAGGCAACTTGAACATGAATAATAGTAAAATTTTCCTGGATCTGGTTTATTTCGCTTTACAGAGCTGTTTACTACGATGCAGACATATACCTCTTGGATGATCCCTTGAGTGCTGTTGACACCCATGTTGGACGGAAACTCTTTGACAAGTTAGTCGAGGCTTTTTTCAAATCTTTGGAAGGGTCTAGGCGAGTCCTATCCCTTTTGCTCTCATTAGCATTCGAGTTAACCCATAATTTTAAGCCGTCGCCGTATATACACATTATGTTGAAAAATTTGAAACAGTCGTGTGAGCTGCTTGATGTGAGCAGTTGGTTCAATTTTCAGCTCTTTGCAGTTAATAGCAAAACAAATAGAAGTAATCAAAAACTGCAAAATTGCTGGGTGGCAAAAACGTTAATGAGTCCATACATTCTTTGTAAAGTTTGTGGTGTTTCAAAGAGAATTTCTACGAAACTATTCGGTATATCGGGCTAAAATTTTCAGACTGAGATAACTTCAGGGTAGTCAAAAGTAGCCGGCTGCCCGCGAAAATCGCCGCCTACTTTGTTAGTATCGGCCGTCTACTCTGCTTCCTAGACAGGCCGCTTAGTTTGACAACTCAGCCGTCTACTTCAAAACTTTCTGGCAACCCTGGATAACTGAAGTTGTAATGCTCTTTCAATATTCAGAGATTTTGTTTTATTATAGCTTCATCAGATAATAATAAGCATATGTTAATAAGGCAAAAAATGTGAACAGGAATTCGCCTACAGTCCCTGCTTTTTGGAACCCCCAATTCTTCCAACCAGCAAATCATTCAAACCAGAACGTCAAATCTGTCATTCTACCCGAAATTCTTTAGCCCAGCTTCTGTTTGGCCAGGACAAAGGTTCAAATATGGGGATTATATCTGTACATTGTTGTACTTTTGCTTTTTGTATGGTGCAAATGGCCAATCTATGTATTGATGTATGTGATAGCTTCATATGCTCTGCTTAAAGTGATAGATGTAAATAGTGCTCGTTTATTACGCTCTGATAATACTATCCTTTCATTGCAGGTGCATATCTGAATTTCTTCAACATAAAATCTGTATTTTAGTAACTCATCAAGTGCAATACCTTAAGGATGCAACATCGATCTTCTGTCTGCAGGAGGTTAGTATAAATCAGTAAGCTAGAACCAACTATCGTGTTCTCATTTACGTAGACGGGTGCTGTTTCGGCTGTAATGGGTAACTGTGTATTTGCCTTTACACGGAACGATTTTCTTTGGAGCTTTTTTTTTTTACTCATAAATCGTATCGTCGTACGTATGTATTATTTACAAGACTCGAAATCCTGTTGACCGACAAATAACGCATTGAGGTGACAGACTTACTCCCAAGAGGTGCTCTTAGTCAACGGAATTCTACGCACAGACCACGTAGAAAACGGAAAAACTAGGGCCTTCGCTGCAGCGCCTCCTTTCTCCTTCTTTCTTTGTACGGCGTGACGTGTTAGGAAAAGAGCGAATTAGATTGTACGCGAAAGAGCTCAGAAGAAAATTGAGCAATAAAAGGAGGGAAAATGATGAAGAAGGGCAAAATTCGTCAAAAAACATACAGCCTTATCAATTTTTTGACTCCGTAGCTTGTATTTTCCATCGTCCCCTGGTAAAGTATCCGAGTATAGTATCTGTCAAACCATCATGAAAGGTATATAGCTTATTCAGGATACGTCCATACGATTCCGGATATTTTTGAAATCGCATACTTTTTTTACATGGATCGGCCTTCCGTCCACACGAACCAATCAATCCGGTCACCGAAACCGCATTGTTTTCAAACCGCTCTCCAGAGAAGGTTTAAGGTGCCGTCCACACGAATCCGGATAAAAAGTATCGTAAAATTCCGAAAATAAGCCCCTTCTTGTATAAGCCCCTCCAAATATAAGCCCCCCAAACCGATAACGCAAAACACCCTCCGTTAAATCGCCCCTCCAAATATAAGCCCCCCCCCCCGGGGGGGCTTGTACTAGGAAAATTGCTCTCAAATACAAAGTAAAACTAAGCAAAATCCAAACCAAACCCGAAAAAAAATAACCTAAAATTCCCAAAAAAAACCCCCTCCTTTATAAGCCCCCCCAAATATAAGCCCCCCCAACCCATAACCCAAAACCCCCCCCCTTAAATCCCCCCCCCCAAAATAAGCCCCCCCCCCCCGGGGGGCTTGTACTAGGAAAATTGCTCTCAAATACAAAGTAAAACTAAGCAAAAACGGTAATTTACTCTCAACTATGAGGCTAACCCAATCGGATTTGAAACGCAAATTTCCCTCCGTTGATAATCCCCTCCAAAAATAAGCCCCTCAAAAAGGGCCTTTGAAAAATTATATGCCCCAGGGCTTATTTTCGGAATTTTACGGTATGCGGTTTCAAAAATGTCCTGATTCGTTTGGACATGGCCTCATTGAAGGTTGCTTTTGGCATGGGGAATGGCGCACTGGGAAGCTATTTTTGGTGGTCCCTCAAGCACCTCATTGCAATGAGTTCCGTATGCCCTAATGTCCAATGTCCAATGATCATCTGTTTTGATTTAGCTTTATTTAGTTTTTCCTCGCTTTTGTGATGATGATGTTTGCTGATATCTACTGTTTTCTTCAGGGTTGTTGTGTTGGAGAAGGCACTATGTCAAATTTGTCAAAATCTGGTCTTGATGTGCAATCACTTGTCTCCATACCTGGTGAGACGGATACGGAGAGTGTCATTGCGGCGGATGATGTTCACGTGGAGGAGAAGATTCAAGACACTAAATCTACGGTAAAACGGGCAACAAAAACGTGCAATTTGTTTTGCAACATTCCTGCAAAACGAGTTGAAAAGTAATGTTGCGCGTTCAACCACCCACGTTCAAATCTGTCTTGCACCAGATCAGGTTGTCGCAAGTTGCGTGACTAGTGACCTCTGATTGGATAAAATTACGCGGGAGTCACGCCATACATAAGAGCGTCACTTGTTGCAAAACAAGTTTGTCTTGGGTCAGTGAAACATGTGCGGATTTTGTTGCAAGAATACAACGTACAACTTTCTACTTTCTGCAACAACTTTTCGCAACATGCAACAACCTGATCTACGGTGGGAATCGAACTAACGCTGTTCAGATAATTCATCGTTGCTCTTTACATTTTACTTGCCCACACCGTCACGAGGGCATGGAAAAGGAAAAAAACCAAACAACAACCGCGGACACTAATGCGTCTCCCAAGGAGACGGGGGCCGCTATTTCTACGTGGTCATCCGAGCATTGAGCGAAGGTCTAACCGTTTGCAGGGCAAAGGCATTACTTTCTTTCACAGTATTAGACTGACCCGGGGATTGAACCTGTGACCTCCAGCGCTCTGTCAACGAAGCTTACCTTGCTGCTCTTAAAGGAGCTTTGTGACCACTGTCTACTCTATTTTGCGGTCAATATTGCCAATTACGTGTTCTGCGGCGCTATGGAAATTAACGCTTTGTAGCAAAGAAATTACTTGTAAGTAACAAAATTACTGCTTCTTGTCCAACAAATATGCTTTGCTTTCTAAGCGTGATAGCAAACGTTACAAACAACGAAAATGAATTTTGAGAAACGGTTAGGCTAACAAGCTTTCAAAACCCACCATCGCAGTCCGTTTTATCATCTTTAACTTTGTCCATCCATGTCTTCTTCAGTATATTCTGCGATATTTACATGCACCTTCTTTTAATGTTTTGAGCGGGTATTTTTTTGTTTCATAGAATTTAGTGGCAGTTCCTGCTGTTTGAATTTTGATAAATTTTGTGACATAGCCCCTTTAAACCTGCGCTAAATGTTTGATCTGATAAATATTTCACATAAGCGCGTCCATTGAAACTTCCTTACTGTACGAATTATCGTGTAGGAAACAGCCAAGAAGCAAAATGTTACTGCAAAAGAAGATCGCTACACAGGGACAGTGACGTGGAGGGTGTACGTTAATTTCTGGTTGACAGGAGGTGGCGCTTTTCTTACGCTGCTGTTGCTGATAGTTTTCCTTGCTTCACAGGTGCGAGTTTAGCAGTCTTTATTTTTTCCAGTTTGTAAGATCTAACTATCTTCAGAAGAAAAAAAAAACGTTATTTTTTGGGTGTTTTGCTTGAATGTGTGTCTTTTTCGACGAAAGAGACGGAGAAAGATCCTCCGTCTGTTATAGTCCTCTGACTGGTCCCTGTAGGGTAGATACCTGATGACGTCACAAAATTTGAGAAATTGTTATGTTGGGTGGCTTAATAAAAAAAAAAACCAAGATGAAAAAGGCCCAATTGTCATGAATTAACATGCTAGTTCAAATTGGTGGTGAAATATTAGCAACGTTATGCTCAAATGACTCCACGCAAAACCTTCTAAAATTGGCTTTGATCTTACCTTTTTGGATTTTAGAAGGATTTAATAATCCGCGCGTTACGTTGCTAATATTTCACCAACAATTTTCTAGCCAGCTGAATTTTGGCATGTGGACAGATTTCATGTTGCTCATTCTGAATGTCTCAGTCAATCCCATTCGTGAGGTCACACTTCTTTATTCTGTGCTCTATTATCTCAGTTCTTGTCGATGTGCAGTGTTTCGTCCAATGTAAGGGAATCCGGGACAATCTTGGATTCTGGATTCCACGCTGTGGATTGCGAATTCCAGGTACTGGATTCCAGTCTTTGTCAGTAGAACTTGGATTCTGAATTCCAATCATTGGTGCGATTCCAGATTCCTTGAGCTGTATTCCGGATTCCAAAACCCAGGATTCCGGATTCCCTCACATGGGGCGAAATGTTTGATGTTTTGAGCTTAACCAACCACGAGGACGACGTCAGTGGAAGGAAACTTCCTTCAAAAATAAGCTTGCGTTCTTTCAAACTTTCTTTCAAACTTTATCGTCTCCTAGTTCCAAATTGTCTTCTCTGTGTGTTTACGTTCTCCATACAACGTCGCAGAAGGAAGTTTTACGTCGTAGACGTGCAGTGGTCGTCAATACCGAAATGTACCAAACAAAATGGCATGTTCCTGCAGCTGTTGTTTTGGCTTTTATAACCATTTGTTTTTTTGTCGTTCTCGTTGCCATTGTTTTCTTGGTTGCCTAAGTTCCCCGATATCGAGAATACTGCACTTATACTCCTTTTCAAAATTAAAGATATCTCAAGTCAAAAATTGGCAATTGACTCTATTATAATATGTTATGAATGAAGCTTACTTTAGCATGACACTGACAGGCTTAAATAATTTGCGTAGAAAGTTGCAGATGAATAGCTTTTTAAAGCTAATTCGCCATTTGTACATCGCGCATAATACCCCTCGGTTTCCCTTCAAACATTTTGCATAAACTTTATTTTTAATTTTTCCTGCGCATTCGTCTCGTGTCAACAGAAATTTAGCACAATGCTTGAGCAAAATCTTTGGGGGTAAAGAAGGTGTATTATGGCGGATGTGCAAATGGCGAATAATCTGGTTTTGTCCTATTCTAGCCATTCTTTACAGAAACAGCAACATTAATTTCCTTCATATGCAATTTTGACATTTTAGGCAGTACTTATGGGCTCGGACTGGTGGTTGGCGCAGTGGTAAGTCAGTACTAACCTTGCAATCCGAGAATTCCGCCAGTAATTAGAACTTTCCAGTCAGATCTGTTTTTTCCTAAATAGTGTACAAGGTAGTGATGGTTTTAATTGAAAATTTTGGGGAAAAGTCTTATAGTTGATTTTCAAAATCACCGACCCGAATGACTAGCTCTGACTCCTGCTAAGCACTGTTAGAGAAATTCCTCGTATTTGTGTGGTTTTTGGATTGTTGTTTGTTTGTTTTATCACTAAAGGAACAACCCAGAGTCTCTGTTCAACACCAGCAAAAAAATCAATAAATGTAGCCCCGGCAGGAAAATTGGCTCCTAGCTCGAAGCTATGCTTGGGACTTATGGTGAATTTCCAAATTGTTGTGCTTAAGGCACCTGTCGATTATCACGTTTTAAAGTCTTTCAACCCCAAAAGCGTTGCTAATGAGCAATTCAAGAAAAATTCCAACTTACGTTTTTTGAAATGATCGCACTTTAACAGGGCTCAAACTTAATTTGGGATTGTTGTTGATCATGTTGACCGGCCAAAGTAATTTTAGCTCGATCACGTCTCTCTTCTGACCGGTCAAAATGTTAAACATAACACGATAATAACTTGAACGAACAAGCCTAACAAGAAAAAAACATAAAGTGAAAAAAGATTCTTGTCATTGTGTAAAAATGGTGTTATTTTCTGGTCACATATTTACGTGTCGGGTCAAAATGAGCAGCAAACCGACAATTTGTCCGGTCAAATGGTCATCTTGGCGGGACATTGTCCTTTGACCGGCCTTTATTTTGAGCCTTGCTTTGATATGTTTCTTATGAACCTCAAAGGTTATCGAAATTGACCATGTGAGTGAGTTTACATGTATTCAAAGTTGCTTTACTACGCGTTCTTTTGCAGGGCAGATACAGAAGAAAGGCAGGCTTCTTATTTAAGTAACTCAACTGATAGTAAACACTCCACTGAGACGAGGCAACGCAATATTGGAGTTTACTGTGCGCTTGTCTTTGGGACTTTTCTGTTAGCGTTTGTAGGTTCCGGAATGTTTTTGTATATCGCTGTATCTGCGTCACAGAAATTGCACAACCAGATGTTTGAGAAACTCCTTGGAGCAACGATATACTTCTTTGATACTAATCCTGTTGGTAAGTATTTGTAAATGGCCATGGTTATGACCCTTTGTTGGGTGTTCTGTGCCGTATCCAAATCTACAAGTCTAAAACTTAGAGCATTCTGTGTTATTTGCACAGAAACCCTTAGGCGTACTTTGGTCATCTTCCGTAATTGGGAGACTGTGCGGAGATTGTGACCGTTAGCAGTGTTACGTTTGTGCTGAGTATGCAAACTTTCAATAAGCTGACGTATAGTATGTGCAGTTCAGATTTTCCAGCAATCAGGCTTTATGAAGAATCTGCCAAAACAGCGCTTAGAAGAATTTTAAGGTTTTCATTTGAATTATCCTACACTAGAACCACAGACTCAAAAGTCAAACCTTCATGATTTGCCCCATGATGAACATATAGAAAAGAAGAGATTCCACTCATGAATTTCAATCGTCAAATTCATGTTTCTTATCCGTTCAATAGATTTTAAGCCCAATTCGAAAGTTAGAACCACATTATTGTTAGAATAGTTCTTCTTGGGCGTAACATTTGCAGTATCTTTACTTCTTTTAGGTAGAGTTTTGAACCGGTTCTCTAAAGATATTGGTCAGATGGACGACTTGCTACCTTACGCATTTTACGATTATACTCGGGTAGGTGGTTTGATTTCGCATTTTTCTTTACGGTCGTGTTTGAAGTGACAATGGTCCAGTTTCGAATAGAAACAATAGACACAGTTGTATACAGGTTTTCTTCGGACTGGAATTTACCTTAGGTTGAGGCTAAACCTGTGTAAATGATTCTTCAGTGCTTCTGTTAAGCGCCCACGACGAATTTCAAACTGGACGTTTTCGGAAAAACCCTTTCAGTGAAAGGCCTTTTTTTCTTCACAAAAATTGGTGACTGTCCTTTTGTTTAGTGGTCCGCATTGTTTAGAAATTGTCATGTTATTCACAAACTTTTTCTTTTTTTAATTGCAGTTGATGGTGTCGTCTTTTGCAATTCTGTTGCTAAATGTGGCAACCATGCCATACCTCCTGGCCGCAGCTATTCCCATAGTAGCCTTCTTTCTTTTCATACGAAATTATTACTTGAAGTCGGCGAGAGAGATCAAACGCTTGGAAGCAATGAGTAAGTGTCAATACGCAGGGTTTGTACAGTCTTAAATTCCTAAAAGAAGTCTTGACTGCAACAAGAAGCTATGAGAGCGTATCCTTGGGCGGACAACTGAGGCTTATATTTCGGGGAGATAACGAGAGAACGCGCGAGCGAGGGACAGAAAATGCGAAATCTCCCTTTCTTCCCCCCCCCCCCCCCCCCCCCCCCCCCCCCCTCCCCCTCTCCCCCAATCGCTTGGCCCCCCTTTCCTTTATATTTTTGTAGGAGCACTTTTAAATATAAAAAGGCTAGAGGGAGGGCTGTGGTCACCCATAAAAGACGTCTATCTCATTTCATCGAAGATATAAGTAATAACAACATCGAACCTAAATACTAAAAAAAGTCGTGAAGTCAAAAAAAGGGAGTGAGGGGGTAACCCGTGGGGGGAAAATTGGGGTTTTATTTTGGGGGGAAAAAGGGGGAACCGGCGGGGCGGGGGACAAAAAAGGGAAAACCCCCCTTTTTCCCCCCCCCCCCTCCCGTCCCCCGTCGTTCTCACGTCTCCAGAAAGGCGGTTAGCGCCCTTTCTTATTAATTGTTTCGAGGAAAACTGAGAAGATGAGGATGACAGAGCATGAAGTCGTGGTACACAAATGTAGAGGCTCTCCTTGTTTACTCATAATGAAATGGAATCACATCTGGCATGAAGGAAAAGAAATGTAATGCTGCCTTTGGGGAGCAAAAAAGTTTTAGGGAAACAAAACAAATGTAACGGCGTTTTGAGGCGGAGAAAGATCTACCGCGAATGTTTCTGTTGACTTTTGATAGAACAAAGTGACTTTTGCCCACATCGACATGCACTATACGCGCGTCAAATATCAACGAACTGAAAACAGCCCACTTTTCTTCAATGGAAAACGAACAAGGGAGTTATAAATTTACGTAATTACAGTACGTTTCAATTTGAAGGGGACAGATACCTGTAACACGAGCACAGTTACTGGCATAGCATATTATATTTGTGAGACTAGCAGCAGTGGTTTATAATGCACGCTTTTGAGATTTTTTCGCAAAACAGGAGTAACCATTTCCAACTGTACTATTCGCGCCAACGATTGCTCTTCTTTCGTTGGTTTTAAAAGTAGTAATCCGCTACTGGGGATTTTCAATCCAAACCCTTAGAATTCTACGACAAAAGACGAGTTTTTGCTGATCTGCTTTCTATTCTTTATCATTTTTCAGACCGCAACCCGTTCTACTCGCATTTGTCTGCCAGTATCCAAGGCCTCACCACTATCCGAGCGTACACGGCAGAAGAAAGATTTCGGCACCAATTTCACGTCTACCATGATGATCACACAGCTTCATGGTTTCTTTTCATGACAGCTTCAAGGTGGCTCGGCTCCAGGCTTGATTTCATCTGTTCTGTCTTTGTTACTTTTGCAGCATTCACGCCTTTGCTTATGGCAGAAGGAGGAATAAGTATGTCTGTTTTATGACGCGGACAATTGACCCCAGTTTGCCATCCCCCCCTGTTCATTTTTAGATCAGAGGTGACGTGAATGATTGATGTCCCCTCTCAACTTCTTGTCGTGCGTGATCTGGAACTACTTAAAGGATGAGACGTAGGATCTTTGTATAAATCACCATTAAGGAACGACTGACTTGACTGCGATTTTGAATTTCGGGTATTGTTAACGATCTCGTCATTTCCACGTTTACAAGACTACTATTGGTCGATACCTTGCCTTCGCCCTGGTAAAAAAATCAGACTTTCTCATAGCAATAACCATGTAGGTTGCGAGGGGAATTTGAGTCACTGTGTTCTTAAAAACCAGTAATTGTAAAGCTACCACTGCTGCCAAGTGCTTTGTCTTTTGCAAGAATTATTGAAACGTTTAAGAAATATTTTGAACACGGGAAGGCGTGTTATCTAATTTCCCATCACCGAGACGAGGGTAAATGGACTCAGACGTTTTGCTTCGGCCAAAATCTTCTGTTTTAATCGTTAAAATAAAAAATCTTTAGCATCGGCTACATCTCTTTTGCTTGCCAGTGTCTCGCATGTTGTTTTTTCACGTATTTTTAGTCCAGAACTACTAGGAACGAAAATATAACCATCTTTTTTCCTATTTACTAAAGGGATGTCTGCTGGGCTTGTTGGCCTTTCCCTGACCTACGCCAAGGTATTAACCGGATCATTTCAGTGGTGCATACGACAAAGTGCAGAAGTTGAGAACCTGGTATGTGGTATTAAGTGTTTGTGATAATTTAACACAGCGAAGATCTTATTCAAATCAGTTACTCGGTACTAAAATTGTTGCTGTTTGTGTCAGTTCTGACATGGACATGTGATATAAATAAACCCAGCACAAATATTCGCTCTCATTAAGAGTCACCGCCCAAGATATCTACTTGTTTTGTATCGATTGATAAACTTTTGTCAAGCTGAAAATAGTAGGTGCAACAGAGTGTTGTTAGACTATAAAACATGGATAGCTAAACTGTCAAGTGGCTTTTATCTTTCCAATAGCCTCATTCGTTATTTTTTCCCGAAAAATCGGGGCTCAAAACTCAGCCTTGTGTCATCATAATTATATTTATTTGTTTTCTTATCGGTTAAGTTATAGAAAAAACAAAGCCTCTGTCTTTCTTTACTTGAAATATAAGTTTCTTTCAGTTTCGTCCCCAGGCCATTGATAGGCGGACATCACATTCGAAATCGCTGAGGACGACTGGTGACGAGGCTGAGTTTATCTATAATTTTTTTTGTTACTTTTGACAGTCGCCAGTGACTTAGTTATTGTGTTTATTTTGTAGATGACATCAGTAGAGCGTGTTATGGAATACACTAAACTGGAACAGGAATCCCAGCGTAAAGACAAGTCTGTTGCTGTGCCAGATAGTTGGCCCAAGTATGGAATAATAACATCAGAGGGCCTTTACTATTCACATCATCACACTTTGCCTTATGTGTTGAAGAAACTGAATTTCTGCATCAGGGCGGAAGAAAAGGTAATAAGACCTAAATGTTACCGTTCTGTAGTGGAATGAAATATACTCCGTCGTAAAGCGGTGCAGTGTAATTGGCGTATCTCACTGGAGGATAAGCTCCCGTAGACCCGAAGTAACTAAAAGGCACTTTCGAAATACTTATAATACAGCTACCCCAAAAGCCTTTTGCACAAGTGTTATTTTCAGTTTCTCTTGTGCGGACTGCAATACCCAGGAGAAAATGAAAACAATTCGAAATTGGCGGGGGCGGGGGGCGTTGGGGTTGGGTGTAGCAAGCAAAGTGAATGAATGAAGAGTCGTGGATGAGAGGACAACAGACGTACCCTCTTACCATACATATTAACATGTGAACAGTACGTTCGGACGGCAGCATACAAAGGCGTCAGTGGCAGCTGCCTTCAGTCCATTTATGAGCTTGCTGTACCCACCCAACCCATGATGTGAATGATGTGATGTGTGAAGGCTGACCACAAACCCGTGGCCTACGTCAAGCAAAGAAACTGGTGAATACTCTCTGGAGGGGCCCTTTTTTAGTTGTAGGTTAAATACAGGTCCAGTGCTTTTATGAAAATTAATTGCTACAGGATGGATCTCTGTTTTTAATAGTTGACATGAATTCAAAATTATTCGATATAATAAGCTCTCTGTTTGAGTTCAAATAATCAACAATAAAACAACGAACAAGAATTTTACAATCGGAGTGTCGTAAGAACCCAGTAGATAACTTAACTTGACACAAGTTTCCCACTGACTTAGTAGTTACAGTGCTTGACCCACACCTTGTTGGACAGGTTCTTCTCAAGCGCTTCCTCGCTGTTATTTTTTTGTTTTTGCTCTTGCCTCAACTTTCGCCTCTTGCTCGTTAAGGGACTGCTTGTTATGCAGGCTGGTGGCGATGACTTCAACACATTTGTTGTTTCCGCCACCCAGACAAAAATAATTCACGTCCTCTTTTCACTGTTATTCCAGGTTGGTGTTGTCGGTAGAACTGGAGCTGGAAAGTCGTCACTGATGGCCGCCTTATTCAGACTGGCAGAACCAGAAGGCAACATTCGAATAGACGCTGTGCCGATTACAGACATTTCTCTGAGTGACTTGAGAAGTAACCTTTCCATCATTCCTCAGGTATAGTGTTGGGCTTTTTGTGGGCACTACCCATCTTTTGCCTATGATCGTAACCTTCAGTTTGGGCGATGAAGACGTCAATAAATCATATTTGAATCACGCAACAAAAATTAGTATTTAAGTATCAGCTACATTATTTACTGTCCACTGAAGTAAAATTCTTTCACTGAGTACTGTTATCCTGTGATCTATTGTTTTGGTAAACTGTTAAAGTTTTGGGGGACTTGGTCATATGTTGTCTTTTTAGGGCTGCTACACACTAGGGAATCATATTAGGGGACTGAGAGCGAGAAGAACAAGAACAGCAAGAACGAATCCCCTCGCTTGACACCCTTTTTATGACAAAAATTTAATTTCTTTAGAAGGGTATCCAATGAGGCACTTGTTATATTCGCGGGGGAATAAACTGTCTGTTTCAAGAAGCTTTCACTTCCAAATGCAAATGACACTGAACCAAGTTGAATTGTGAAGGGGGCTCCGTTTTAGTTTCTCTTCGAGACGTGTAGGAAAGTATCGTCTGGCCATATAATGAGACGCCTGCGCAGAAGGTTTAGCTTATGTCTTTTTTATCCTTTTTAGGACCCAGTTCTCTTCAGTGGAAGTGTTAGAAAAAATTTAGATCCTTTCAATCAGTATGGGGACTCGGAGTTGTGGAACGCCTTGGAAGAGGTTCGTTTATAGGAATAATAACACATTGTTGTGTAATTTTACAAATAATACCCTATGCTGTACACTTTTGTTTGATTTTGTTATTAAGGTTCGAATAAATGAGCTCTATTCGTAGTGAGAATAAATAGTGCCGTTAGAAAAGAAAATATATACAGAAGAAAAGTGGGAGTGGTTATTTTGCAAGAAAGTCTGCTTTACCATTTTAGAAACTAATCCCTTTATCTTTTTTTCTTGGGGTGGGAAGGGGGCGACACCTTTAATTCAAGCTATTGTATTTCTCACGTTATGTTCTATCTTGTCTAATCTTCAGGTACAACTCAAGGAAACTGTATCAGAGTTGCCGGATGGCCTGGAAACTAAACTTACTGAGGGAGGCTCAAATTTCAGCGTGGGTCAGCGGCAACTCGTGTGCCTAGCACGCGCTATTCTGAAACACAACAAAATATTAATCATTGACGAAGCAACGGCAAATGTCGATCTTAGGTAATAATATATAGCACGACTACTTGGTAATACTCTGTTTTAACACAGAGTAAACAATTTTTGTCGGTTGGCAGCGTAGAGATCTGTAGATTTGATAACTCTGTCATGTCATTTCATCTTTATTTCAGTACGGATGCATTAATTCAGGAGACAATACGAAGCAAGTTCCAGCGTTGCACTGTCCTGACTATTGCCCATCGTCTGAATACGATCATGGACTCAGACAGAGTAATGGTAAAAATTACATCTTCGCTTTTTCATTTATATACTGCGACTGTTCTTTCTTAGCCATCCCACCTTCACTTCACTCCACCCTAGTAGTTTATCTTTTTAGTGAACTTTACTCGATTGTATTCCACCCAACTTTTTCATGTTCTAGGTTACCTGTACTTCTTCCTTCTTTCTACTCGTTGTGTCTCTACCGTCCTATTAGACTGCCACATCAATCCCTACTGTACCCTACCCAACCTTATTCTATTCTACCCCTTTCCCCCCCCCTCCACCCCACCATACCCTCTAACGGGTACCTCACAGTAACTCCCTACTGTGTCCAATACACTATAGTATTCCTTATCCTACTCTACCAGAGCTCCACCTGTTTCGTATTTCACCCTACCCTGCCTTACCTTACCTCAAGTAATAAGATCCCACCCCCCCCCCCACACACAGACACGTACTTTACGATCCCCTACCCTCCCCTCCCTACCCTCTTCCTACTCCACTTGACGCAATGTTTGCGTCATGATTGTTACCGTTTTTATTTAGTTAATTGACTATCACCTTGGAAACATACTTTTCGTGAAATTTACAGGTGCTGGATGAGGGAAAGCTTGTGGAATTTGACGAACCTTACCTCTTACTCCGAAATGAAGAGAGCATATTTTCCCAAATGGTAGAACACACCAGCAGACAACTGGCATCAAATCTTTACGATGTGGCACGGGAGGCTTACTTCGCCAGACACGAAATCACGGATGACTCTGAGGTGGACGTGATACCAAGATACATGAATGGCGACGTAACACCCTTGAAAGAACAGAGACCGAACGACGACGACTCAGACGATTGTCCCTCACCAAGATTTAGGCGAAGCTCGTCCATAGAGAAGGAAAGGTTGTTATTTGAATCCACCGTTTAATCTCTCCTTGCCAGAGTAAAGTGTGGTAACGTAGTCAAACTACCTGAGCTGACGTTTGATTTGATCGACGAAACCTCGTCAGCAGCAGTCTTTGGGGGAAGTCTTTGTGTTTCAGTATTTTGTAAGGTGAAATTTATGACTGAACTTTGTTTTTAAAGTTCTTGGGCAAGAGAAACATCGTTGAACATTCTATGACATCATTGAATGCTCTTTTCTTTCATGCACGTTTTCGTAGACGTGCGTAAATGCCGTGATGCCCTAGCATATCGTGCTCTTTTTCAAAAGACAATAGGGAGTTTACGTAACGACGATGGCGACGGCTACGGAAACGTCACTTGAAAAGTGAATTTGCACTGCCTCAAACATTTTGGCGCTTATTCCGTCTAGTTTAATTCGTCACATGTTGGCAAATTTTTTTGGATTTTAGTTGGCGGCTTACCTACCTCAAGGCGGTATAAACTGATATCTTAGTTTTCTTGTCCACATTGAAACGTTATTCACAAACATTGCTTATGTGGTGTTATAATTAAGAATTTGTTCATGCTTAGCGTGCGTATATCGAGTTATGGATGCACGCGGGAAGTTTGGAGAGCACGAACATCGCCTCGTGCAACTCTAGCTTCTTGAGTTCTCTCCAAACTTCCCAAGTGCATCCATAACTCGATATACGCACAGCTAAAAGCATGAGCAAATTCTTTTATAACATAGCTGACAAAAATGCTTGCTTTTTGATTAACTGCAAAATTCTCGTAACGCGCGACACAATAACAAACGGTTCTATTGGCTGATTACGAACACGCCACAATCGTCTAGTTTGAATGAAAATATTCTTTCTGTAACAGTGACAAAGAAAATTTTCTTCTTTCTTCGTTAACGATCAATGGAAACTAAGCAGAAACAAAGGTAAAAGAGTCTTAAAGTTCACCTAAAGTTAAAATCCTCCGTGACATGTTCGTGAGAAGTCGTGGAGTATGGTTTAGATTTGCTAAAGAGATGTTTACGTTTTGATCGCCGAAATCCAGAAAAAAAGGTTTTTAGCGAAGACGACTGTCATCCTTGTTTAAACTCATATTCATTTACGAACATTGGCTGGTCATTACAGCTTCCTGAGAAGACCTGGCAGCAGTTGTTTTTGTGAGTAATAAATTTATGTCTTCTTGTGTAATTTGTGTAATTTGCGAGAGAAATTTTCCTGCTTCAGTCGGATTGTCCGGAGATAACAAAGTGCATGACAAATTTAAAAACAACAATAAAAACGGAAATTTTGCCTTTAAATGTTGTTGATGACCAGTTGGTGTCTATTCTGTTCCCAGTGAATGTCTTTCGGCCAAAATTTGCTGCAGCTGGTCTTCGACAAATCTGCGAAACGCGCAACTTGCGAGTTTTTTTTTTAATTCGGCTTTATTTTTGCTGCTTGTTGGATCAAGACCTAAAAGGTCAATGCCGATAGAAAAATTGGGCAGTTTTTCGCTGGTTTCTTCCATATTTTAAAGAGAAGGAAAAGTGCACTACAGCTTAAAAGACGACAACTTTGCAGCCAGGTAAAAAAAAAATGCTCACGTCATCTTATTTACGCACGGGCGTGCGTAAATAAAGATTTTGTTCATAGCGGCTCAATAGGACTTATATAGGGCGAGCACGCGCGCTATGTTATAATTTAAATTTGGGAATCCAACCAGCACGGTTTTCATTGATAGGTAAGCTTGTTATTTATTTATTGCATAGCATTCCATTGCAAGGCGCAATCCTTAAATCATAAAAGCATGAAAATACTGCGGCCATTTTTTAACTAATTGAAGAGAAATATGATTTTGTATCAACCTGACAGAACTATATTTAATAAATAAAGGCATTAACAGAATTAGATAAAAGTGGAAATTTGATTTTTTCGTTGTTATGGGGGGTTCCTTTAGAAACCCTAAAAATATCATTGTAATACTCAGGTACAACTGTCAGAGCTCAACCCTTTGACGCTGATGGAACTCTGAAGAAAGAAAGTGAAGACCGTGGGAGAATATAATGATCGTCATGACCTTTTTATGCTCTCAATGGTTAATAACAGAATTAAATGGTGTCATCTGTTTTCTGGTGTAATACCAATGCTTAGCAAAACTCACACTCCACACTACTGTCGTAGCCTGACGATCACTTGTCCTAATCACGTATCCGTCGACAAGAGATCTGGGTACGAGTTGATATTTGACTCATGCACTTGGTGAACTACCTTGGACGTAGGAAACCATCGAGGCATCGAACAGAGAGCGGCGCTTCCAATTCTCACAACAGTCGCCCTTTTTACTTGCTAAGGGGCTGGTCATTCGACAAGAGCGGGCTGTCCCAACTAATCTGGCAAACGTAGTAAAAAACTGGGCAGGTCCCGTGGCTTAAGTTACGTTCAGGGCTTAAATTTTCTTGCACGTGGACTTTTTTCGAAATTAAGATCATTGGAGATGTTGAGGAATTATTTGGGTTTCAATTAAGTAAAAAGTATATTTATAAGCGAAATACCCGCTTCCTTTTAAATCCGAAATATTCTTGGCTATCTTATTTTCCTCCAACCACGGACGGAGGATAAACTACACCCCTCAAGAGAGAGGTACCGTCTAGAGATTTAAAGTCAGACGCTTTCAGCGCCAGTCTTTTCTCGGAATAAATCAAAGGAATGTGTTTTTTGTCTTTCTTAATTGATTCAGCCAATACATAAAACCAGATTTTTGCGAATCACTCACCCCGAGCAGGAAAAAAGTTTTTCAATCATTTACCCTTCAAAGGGTTATTGAAACAGAAGGTAATGAACACAGTATTTAAGTCGTGGACAGTGGTACATTTTGGCGACAAACTTTATTGTTCACTGTATTATATTTTAAGAGGGGGTCTTGCCTAACTAATTCCGCAGCAAATGTGAAGGTAATGTACCTCCTTGAAAGCGTTTTCTTAACTACATGTAGGTCACCAGAAGGCTGACTTACACTGTGGAGATTTCAGCAGCAATTTGTAGCTGTCAATACAATTATCGGTGGCTTTGAAGTGGACAAGTCTGTTCAATACATCTACACCTAATGGCTCCACAAAGTATTGGAAATGACGTATGCAGTCTGATTCTAAATAAAGTGTTATTAGTACTCATAGCAGGCCTCTTGTTAAGATTTCGGTTCATCTTCTGAAAATAGTCTTGCAGTTGTGTCGTACACACTGTAAGCATATACCTATATTGATGATAAATCACCATACAGATGAAGTCCAAAATTGCTTTTACAGCTGATGTAAGTTTTCGGAAAAACAATGAGAATTTATTCTTCAACCAAAATGAATACAACAAAAAGTATACAACAAAAGTGTATTACAATGGAAAAGTGTGCAACGAAACACGTTTTCCAGCAAAAATGTTTGCAAAAAACGTTTACAAGAAAAAAGTATACATATAAGAAATTTTTACATCAACAAAGGATACATCACTAAAATGTATACGACGAAAATGTATATAATAAAAACGTACTTAGCAAAAATTTATTCAACAAACACGTAAACCAAAAAAAAGCATACAAAATGGACTATGTAACAAAACAAATTTACGACAACAATGCATATCGCATAAAATTAGACAAAACTTTGTCCAACAAAACGTGTGTAACAAACACCTATACAAGAAACAATTATCCAACAAAAACCTCGTACTGACGACGAAAATGTTGACCAAAAAAGTAGAAATGGTTTACAACAAAAAGTATACAACAAACTGTATCAAAAAAAAAATATATTAAAAAACTACATACAGCAAAAATGTATACGACATAAACCTAATTTATACATTATTATAAACGTTTGTAACAAAAACGTTGACAACAAAAATAAATGCAAAGTACATAAACGAAGATATATCGAACAAAAACGTATACATCTTTGTAGTATACCATAGAAATGTATTCAACAACAATGTACAAGTAGGTTTAAATGTATACAACAGAAAATTATACTTCAACATTGTGCAGAGCAAAAATTTGTGTTTACCATGATAAACACAGAAAAGTAATGTATACAATAAAAAAGCATATATCGAAGCGTATTTAACGAAACGGATACATGCATACAGACAACCAGTCCAGTTTTTTTAAAAAAAGTATTCATTCAGACAGCATACAACACAAACGTTTACATTAAAACATGTTCTGCAGACATAACAACTAGCTTTAAAACTCTCAAAAAATTGTGGAGACCATGTTGACATATTTCTAGAATGTTATTGTGGCAATACTTAGTTATAAAGTTGTTTTAGTTGTTTCTTAGCCTAACTTGTTCACAGCTTTCCGAGTTTGACACTTACGAGGTATTGGAATCCACCTGTCCGCGTCTACCCAGTAGCTGTACATAAACTGTCTATATCCCGGTTGATCTCCTTTTTTAATTCCAATCTGTGATAAAACAGACATGGTAGTGAGTAACTTAGTTTATTTCAAAAAACTTATTAATAATTCATAAAGAAAAAACAAGAGAAATTAATATTTAATGAGTGTCTTTATATCTGGTAAAGACACGGCTTAACTTTACGTCCAATTCGTTAAAGACCAAAATATCCGCAAATCAAAATATTAGTGCAAGAATGAGTTGATCTACAACAGATTCTGAGGCCGTTCAAAAACTCGCAGTCGTGTGTTATTACAAACTCTTGGCTTCGCCTAGAATTTTAAACCTGATAATACACCCCTGGCCCCGGTTGTTCAAAAGTTGGATAGCGCTATCCACCGGATAAATCACTATCCAGAGGATAAGTATTACGATAACCAATTGCGCTATCCAGTGGATAGTAACTTATTCTGTGGATAGCGCTATCCACTCTTCGAACAACTGGGGTCTGCTCGTCTTTAAACAGTCCTTGATTAATCGGTATAAGTAGAGCGAGAGAGACCGTTCTATGGAAAGACATACGTTTTTTCCTCTGGGCATACCATAATAGTCTTCAAAATCCATCTGATGTACCTTTTCGTTGTTTTCAATTAACAGAAGAACACATAACCTAGGTGTAACAGGAGGTCATTATTACGACTTTAATTTAGTAGCCACTTCAGTAGCAGCAATAATGACCTGCTGGCTCTAAAACAAAAGGTGCGTTTCATCGGATAATGTCCTCCCTCCTCGGCCTTCGGTTGTCAGGTATTATTGCGAAAAAGGTCTTTTACGATAACTGTAAGAAAATGAATGTAAGGAAACTTTCCCCATTTGATACATTTTGCTTAGTAACTCACTGACTCCAGATGCCAACCATCTCCCCAGCCAGAGGTATCTCGGTAAATTTCTACACCTTTCACGCGTCCTACGTCTCTACCCTCGACAGTGAAATCGTCCTCACTACAATAAAAAATAAAAAGTTGAAATATAAGTTCTTTTTCCAATATCCCCACATTTTGCATAAGTTATTATTGTCAAACTGATGCTCTTGGTAGTATGGAGCGCTTAAAAGCAATAGATTATGCAACGTTTGGGGGGAGGGGGTGCAAAAAAGTGTATTATAATGATTCGAAAATAGAGGATAAAGGTAGTTTGGAGTGACATTTTCCAATACCGTCTCCACGCTTTTTTGCGACTGTTTGTTTCTTTGTGTTTGCTCCTTTTGCTTCAAGTTTTAATTTTTTATAATTATAGTCTGGTGAATAGGTAGCGGCAACTTCTTATATTTAATGAAATTTAATATCATGGAACATATTTTAATTGCTTGTGGGAAACAAGAAAAACTTCCGAAGCCCTCAGCCTCACAATTAGCCCTTTCCTTTTAAATATAACTCCTGTACGGAAACTCTGAATTCCACATGACGTCACTTCCGCCATCTTGGTGTCCCAAACAATAAAACGGCGGCCATATTGGTGCCCCAAACCGGTCCTGTGGCATGTGAACGAGCGCAAGGTTGGCGCAGCGGTGAGAGCACTCGCCTCCCACCAATGTGGCCCGGGTTCAGATCCCGGCGTCGACATCATATGTGGGTTGAGTTTGTTGTGCGTTCTCACCCAAAAAAACCAACACTTCCAAATTCCAATTCGATCTGGAACGTACGGACACAATTCAACGAGTTCTCGAGAACTCCTAAGTGCTACGTGGGTAAACAAATTACAAATTACAATTCTAAAAAATTTTTTTTTACGCTTTCTTTTGTACCAATTTGTTTTAAATATGGCTGTTAGCCCCGTGAGTAAAAACGCTCCATAAGCCTCTGGAGACTGAATAGAGGAAGTCAGGTACCTGTTCTTCTCGAAGTCATCTCTGGTTGGGTCATGCAGTTGTATTTGATCTGTGACGCCGTTGTTACCATGTATTTTGATCCATACATTTGCATCCGTGTCAGCGTGAGCATATGAAGAGGTTCTTACTTTTACGTGATACACTGTGGGTAGAAGTAAAAAAAAGAGCACCAAAAAAGTAACTTAATATTTCCTGGATATAACAAGCCATTTGAACGATGACGTCATTTTACTACTACGACCAGAATCCTTCAGATATTGCTTTCTAGTGCAATTTCGGGCTTTTTTATTTAAACTTCGCTGGGATTACCAAATGTAAATATGAAAAGAAAAACGAAACGGATTCTAGTCGTAGTAGTAAAATGACGCCATCGTGCGAATGGCCTATTCCCCAGTTTATACTTTTCAGTTCAAGGTTCATCTGACACCGTTTTATGTTAATTGCAACAACATACAATGCAAGGTAATTTCCTCTTATTTGTTATGCCATGCAATGTATACTATTCTTGTAAAATACATTAGCTAAAAAAATCCGCCCTAATCTACTAATTCTTCAGATTTTTTTTTGGAAATTGCATTTGCTGTTAAATCTTCAAACCTCGCGTTAGGATCATGGTATGCCTCTCATTCACGCTTCTTCCATCTTTCTTTCATCATTTCATTTCTTTGCGAGGCTTTTACGATCGGATTCTGTGTTATCTGATCTGTTTACCCAAAGATAAATCCTAGAGTTAGGTCAACAAAAATTACAATTATTCATGACTTTTGGCCCTAACCAATTGCTTGACCAGTACTGCAAAAGAGCAAAAGGCATAAGACCAACGGAAACTTCATGGCCCTAAAAATAAATAGATATAATAAATAAAGTCAATAAAGTAAATAAACCGGGGAAGTCTTTCCAGACTGCAAACTGTCCCAATTCAATTCCATTCAATTCCATTATTTATATCACACTATATAAGATATTTACGCAAGTGTACGCAGATAGGAAAATAAAGTAGCCGATAAATAATAATTAACTAAAAGATATTAAGTTCATTTGTGTACAGTGTCCAAAGTAGCAAGAGCTTTCTTGTTGGACACCGTCATGTTTAGATAATTGGCAGCAGTAAAGAGAGGAAGTAAAATCTCAGATAATATCAGTGATAGAGCATATAAGCAAGGTCAGATTTGGTTGGTAAGAAGATAGGACTTCCATTCTTTCTTAAACTTATGATAATGGCAGACACTTGAGACCAGGCGGTAAAGTCTCCCAGATTTTTGGAGCGGAGAATTTAAAGGACGTCTTTACCTAAGTTGGTGGATACTAGGTTACTGACAAATCTTATGATTGTGTATACGCGATGCTGGAGTCAGAACATCAAGGAAACTCTGGAATGCTATCAGTTTCATTTCTCATTCTATGTGTAAGGCAGTATATTTTTAATTTATATATGTTATATGATTTAAGGATTGTTAGGAGTTTGAAATAGGGAGCAAGCACTATCTCTAGGATGTACAAAGAAGATGGTGCGGAGACATTTGTTATGCTTAATACGAAGACAATCTAATCTGGTTTTGCTGGTACATCCCCAAGCAAGAATCCCGTAACTCAAATAGGGATATATTAAAGCATAATAAATTTGTTTGAGTATATTCAGATCTATGTAATATCTTAGTTTTGAAAGGATTCCTAAATTTTTAGCTAATTTATTATTTACATGTTGTATCTGTGGTTGCCAATTGAGATGTTTATCTATATAAACTCCCATGTACTTTATGTAATCTTTCTGTTCAATACGAGTGATATTTATCTTTGGGTAGCATCTAGATGATGACACTAACATATAGTTGGTCTTTGCAGTGTTAATAGATAACTTATTTAGAGCACAGTAGTTATAAATTTGTTTAAGCTCTCGATTCATTACGGATTCAAGCTGTTTTAAGTTGTCGCTAGAGTAAAATAAATTGATGTCATCAGCAAAGCTCCGCACCGAAAGTATGTCGACTCAGTTTGGTAAGTCGTTCACATAGAGCAAAAATAAAAGAGGACCTAGAGTCGAGCCTTGGGGTATACCGCAGGTAACTTTCAAACCAATTATGAGGTGTACCCCGAATTCCAAATAGATATGGTTTAGAGAGCAGTATTTTATGATTTACTGTGTCAAATGCCTTTAATAGGTCGAGAAATAAACCACATGTTATTTGACCTTTATCAGTGGCTAGCTTCAGATTGTCAGTAATTTTAAGAGTAGTTTGTTCAGTGGAATATCCTTTCCTAAATTCAAACTGATATTTGTACAAGATTTGGTGTGAACGAATATACGGATACGTGAAACCGAACATCTTCTTGTATACCTTCCTTTGTTACAAAAAGACGATTGGTGGTACATTGCATCCAAACAAGTTGATTTCCCCACCTGTCCAGGTACCTAGTCGAAAAATGAACCTCACAAAAATACGTCTTGGACAAATTCGATCCGATATTAACACAGAGCACAAATCAGGGGGGATTAAGTTAGTAAGTAAAGTCTCAGTGGTAAAAGTCAGTACTTTTAACGTAAAACAATTGCGGTCTTAATGATCATTTTTTCTGGTATTATTAATCGTTTATAGAGCGTAGACCTCATTAAGGAAACGCTTTTTAACGTTTTTGTCCAAAGAAAATCGATAACTCACTAAATTGAATGACCTGTTTCAAACTGGACTGTAAGTGCCCGGTGAGAGTGAATGAAAAATAAAAGACGTTAAACTGAACCAAAAGAGAAAAATCCCCTTAGCACCAAACACTGGCGAAACGACTTACCTTGCAAATTTTCTGATGTCTTGAGATCTGTCAATATGGAATGTAGTTTTTGGTTTTTGAACCGGCTCTTATGATTGACCATCGTATGTTAAGTAATTCTTACCTCAGTTATTGCTAACATAGGGGCGGTTCACGCGAGGCGTGGTTGGGAGGATATGACATTTGACGCTAAGAGGGAAACTGAAAGGTACTTTTTCACCGCAAACTATCAAGAAAGAAGTAATACAAAAACGCGACACGCAGTGCTTTATCCGATATTCAGACACCAATAAGCGAGGCCTAGTTTTTGAGAGCGACTTCTTGTGGATAGCGGACAAAATAATAAGTGGAGAGTTTCATTAATTAGTTTTCAAATGAACATTGATTCTTGAAGAAATTCACAACTTAAAATCGAAAACTTTTAATGTACACCAGCGTCATGGTGGTCAGTTATGTTAATGAATTATTGACGAGTTTGAGAACGTTCATTTCTTAACATCAAAGATGCCTTTTTACAACGACGAGATGTCAGTGGTCCTTGGCAGTCGTTCATTAATGGCATTTTATTTTCCATTTCCCAATTGTGCTCTTTGAAATATATTTTTCAGCTCAAATAGTTCAAAGATATTTGTATATTTCCTCTGTTTTGTTACACAAAGGATGCAACAATATCATAACCTTTCAGTGTCATTGTCTTGTATGGCGTTAGAAAAAAAGAAACAGAAATACCTCTATTATAAAAATCATCATTTCGTTTCATTTCGTTTTTGCCCCAGTAATTGGGTGACATGTGGGCTGTTCTTTAGCATGAGTTGGTGGAAGAGTACCTGCTTCTGACCCGTCAAAAAAAATGAAGCGTAAAAAGTAAGGGCTTTTAAGTTTAAATCGAAAAGTAAATGTAAGCAACATCATAACCAAAAACGCATTTTTATCAATTGGTCTTTTGATATTTTACTCAGTTTTTGGTTCTTTAGAGTTGGATGATTTTTTAAATATTAATTTCATTCAAAACATTTCTCCTTTTCTGATTGGCTTAAATCCCACGCATAATTTATCATAACCTGTGCAGCTATTGTCGGCCAGTTTTGGAAGACATAGCTGCGATATGTGAAACTGACGTCAAGTGTGCAGCAAAATTGCCAGATTATTGAACAAACCTGGGGACGAGGTTATGAGTTGTTTTGGTAGTGAAGAAATAGGCAAACTATTGGCTAGAAACATAACAAGAACAGCAAGAAGACAATTCGAAGGACGACATCTGCTATTTGAGAATATTTGCAGAAATGAACAACCCTTTTTCTCCTAAACCTGCGGGAAAATATGCACCATCGAAGATGCATGAACTTAACATCGACGGAGTTAAGCATGTTTTTCTTTTTTTTGTAAATGAATTCAAATAATTGTTAATTATTATTCATTCAAAATATTTCGCCGTTTCTGATTGGCTAAAATGCCACGCATAATTCAACATAACCAGCTATTGTCGACCAAATTTGGATGAACTTTGCTATAAGTGAGAAATGACGTCAATCGTGCAGCAAAGTTGCCAGATTATAGAACCGTCAACCGAGAAAACCTGGGGACGACTTTTAGTTGTTTTGGTAGTGAGTACAAGATGGCAGGAATTTTTACGCGTGTCACGACGAAGAAAAAGGCGAAATATTGTCTAAGAACATAGCAAGAAGACAAAAATGCAACTTCGATGGAAGACATCTGCTTTTTGAAGAATATTTGCAAACCTAAACAACCCTTTATATTCTTAACTTCCCGAAAAATATGCACTATCGAGATGAACTTATCATCGACAAATATGATCGACAAATATGAGTATGTTTTAGCTTGTTTTTAAACTAGGAATTATCAGTCTGAATGAATAATAAAACAATTATTGAATTCGGCTTTTGTATCATCTGAAGAATTATGGATAACTCGGAGGGAGTTATCCGCCTCGGCCACACCCTCCGAGATCTCCATAATTCTTCAGATGATACCCAGCCTCATTCAATTCAACATTTATTTCAATTTTTAACCATTATTCTAATATTGTATTTTTGCTGTAAAGCGCTACTGAGCTCTGAAAGAAAAAAATATAGTGCGATCATCATTATTAATATCATAATTATTTTAATTATTGTTATTCTTATTAAGGTACAAAAGGTAACATCGACAGGATTTAACCTTTTCTTTTCTTAGAAAAATTTACCCTTCTGACAAAGCATGTGGTGAAATAGATTCTTTCGGAAAGGTTTTCCTGGTTTCTCTTTCCTCATTCCGCTTCTACAATTTCCCGATGAATTTGTGAGTTGAAACGGACAGTAAAATTGAAGTTGAATAAGCACTTCGGATGGTAGGCGACAACATGCAAAACACGACGGCACCGCAGTCACACTGATGGTACCATCACTTTGTAGAAGGAAGCCTGCGAGCTAGGTGTCCAATTATGTGGAGAAAAGCGTGCCGCGAGGGAGCTAGAGATAGGACTTTTATCACGGGGGTCCAGTAATTACACTTGCGCCTTCGTGCAAATTTTAATCAGTTAATGTAACTCACAGCTAGTTATACATAGCATACAACCCTGTTCAAAGCCTTCTAGAAAAAGAAAATATCAAACAAATGACATACAAGCACATATCTGTATAACATCACATGGGTGATAACTTGATAAGTAAGGAACAAATTTACTTGGTCTAGAAATGCACGCTAACAAAATTAATGCTCTTTACGATAAACATTACGAAACGGCCCCTAACCCTAATCCGAAGCTATGGCAATTGCGAAGTTATACTGAATCAAATAACTTTCTGTCAAGTTTAACCGAAGTTATTTCATTTGAGAAACTAACACACCTGTAACACTTCGATAAATAAAGATAAAGTTTTAAAGTTTAAATCGCTGTGTTCTTAAACTCCTCAAAGTATTTTCTTGGCTATTAGATCTTTATAAGTTTTGTGACTAATGTCTCATGCTTTATTTAATCGAAATATTCCTTCCTGAAGTTCAACTGAATCTAAGAGTTTGGTTGCTACATAGTAGCTAATACTATTTATCTAAGAATAAAATCAATCGTTTTTAATAACGTGTAGTTAGTAACAGATATTGTCAAATCATTTAGTCGACTTGGTGGTAGTTTTCCAGGTAAGACAAGAACAAAAACCAAAGAGGACTACCAAGCAAGGCTGTTCTTTAGGATGTGTCACCTTCTTCCAAAGGCTTCTCGCAGTAATATGCCTTTGATTCATCAAGTAAATCCAAATCCAAATAAGGAGTTCCCTTCACCATCATCTTCTCCAGCGCTTTTGCGGCGAGATCAAACGTCGGTCGCGCGCTGGGGTTCTCATTCCAACATTCTAATAGCAGCTGGAACCTGTCAAAGGAACAGTAACACAGTGTCAACAACGCTTTAAACAAAATGTCTACATACGGACAGGCTAAGGACTGCTAGCGCTTCGCGTGGTGAAGGGAAAGCTGAAAGGAAAATCCAGAGCAAAAAGCTTTCTTGTAGGCTGCATTTTTATCCGTTACACCATAGTTATTAGAGGAGACTGGTTATGAAAAGCGGCAAACATCAATGATAAAAACAACAGTGCTGCAGTTTATGTTGGAAGCACCCTGAAAGTGCACAATCCTTTGTTTTCTGTTGGCAAATTGTTACTGCAACGTTTTTATTGGTCAATACAATAAAAATGATAGGAATTCTTTTGAACGTTGTGCACTTTCAGGTCCACAAAAACATATAACAAAGGAGTCTGACGGGTTTCATAACCATTCCACTCAATTAACTATGATTACACAAAATATTTATCATCATAAGTAGCCTAAAACTATACTTACAGTTCATCGGAACACATGTCGGGCTTTTCCATGCGATATCCTGTTTTTAGAAGCTTGTACAATTCTTTGTTACTTATACCAGGGTATGGATTCCCTCCTACAATAACAAGTTTTTTAATCAGCTGTTTAGGCTATAAACTGATGACAATCTCAACTATTTTGCAAAATCGAAATAACTTGGCTCGCTCACTCCCCGTGAATACCATTAAGTCACCAAGTCGTTGGATGTTTTTTTCTTGTGAAAGATGTTATTAGACAGTTCAATTTTCCTTAACTATATGCTTCCTGTGGGCATGGGGGCTTCGGAGGGCCCCAACTTTAAAACCGCACATGAAACGACCACTTAAATTACACTGAATAATGTACACGTCATTTTCAACATTTAGGTATAATTTGTTTGACACATTGCTGTACATTGACGTCATAATGACGTTGGCAGAACCCAAGTTTTTCCCGAAAACTAGCTATAAAGCGAAAAGTCATGAAACTATGAAGTTGGCTGACACATTGGTAATCTTTAACAATAGAAATGAGGTCTGATCCGCCATCTTTGAATTAGTTAAATAACTTTAACATTTTCCGAAATAAATGTTAGGAAAAGTCGCGAAGTTTTGCGGTCCAGCTTAACGGTTTTGAAGTTATTCAACTCAGCTCCCCTGGTCTGAACAGGGTTAAGACAGCATTTTTGTATTTCCGCCTCTCAGTATCTTTTATTCTGTTTAAGTTCGAGAAACGTATCCCTTTCGTTTATTAGCTGAGTGAATAGTGAGAATATCAATTTGTCGTTTAAAGATGTAAACTAGATCCTTGCCTTAATGTTTTTAGCCAAAAGATGAAAAAATCGTGTTTTTTTCATACTGCATTCAATGATTCCATACGTAATAAACGGGTTTCTAAATTGCGCTTTATTAATTCTTACCCATTGTGGAAAGTTCCCATAGCACAACTCCAAAAGACCACCTAAAGATAAATTATACAGTACTAAAATTCGTACTCTTTGTGAAATAATCATTGTAAAGTTAATTGAAGAAATCTCAATGACCATAAGGAAAGATAAAGACTGTTATTTCAGAAATAACAGTGAACACCCGCTTAATTATCGGGTGCTTAGTGATAACTGAGCCTGAAAATGTTCTCAAAATTTGTTTCAAAAATACTATAAATTAAGCAGTACTAGAGGTTTAATTAACATACAATGTTTTATACTTTACTTTTATAAGTAAACATTAACTTGATTGGAAACCCAACATCTAATTGTTAAGTAGTTTAAACATTTCACAAAATTTTGGTCCAGTACACGATAGTACCGTAACAGGAGTTACTAAATTGGGTTCTTATTCTGGCATCCAGAGAACATGTTTTATTTATCAGGCTTAATTGGTCCTTACATATATCGTACTTTATTAGCCAATATTCAGCCTTAAAACCCACTTGTTCTTAGAAACAGGTGTTTACTCTATCTGATATCTGAAAGTTCCACTGTTCCCAGGCGTGAACGAAAACCTGCAACTTCGTTTCCAAGGTGCTATTTCCACTTTCGTGGCGACTCGCTACTGAAAGTAGCCTAAGAAAACAGCCGAGATTTCGCGACGCCACCAACGGTTTCCGGCGTGATGACGCATGAATGCCACTTCCCAAATCTGGGTAGTGCTTCGATTTTGATAGGCTGACGCATATTTTCAACCAATCAGCAGTTGGGGATGACAATGGACTACGGGTTACTGCTCTATCGTTACGGTATTGATAAATGTGTGACATATGACCATGCGCAGTTGACATGGTGTAACACAGTTTTCACTCTAAGCATCAAATACTCACACATCGCTCTTTGTGGTGTATTGACTGTTGTAGAGTGCCTCTGGTGCTGTCCACTTAACCGGCAACCTTTTTCCCTTCCTGAGCTGGTACACGTCGTCCTGAGTGTGCCTCATTAGTCCAAAATCAGAGATCTTTACCACTCTGTCTTCTCCAAGAAGTATGTTACGCGCCGCTAAGTCACGGTGAACAAATCCTTTGCTCGCAAGGAAACTCTGGGATAAAAAAAGACAGCTGGAGGAAGCATGAAAGGAATAATGTGTGACATACTTATACCCCCCCGTTCAATCTTCCTATTCAAGAACTATGGGTAACTACATGGTATTTACGGCAGTTGCGATGCGACGACACAAATTTCGGGACCACCAGCCCCAAACACAAGTAAAAAATCAACTAGAGCCAAAACGGCTATCAGGACCACAACAAGTGCCACAAAGACAACTACCACAGTGACAAAAACAACTATAACAACTTGACCAATCATACCAACGACAGACACCACAGCAGCTACACTATTACTACAACCACAATCATGACAAACAGGAACTTTACACTGACAACACCCCCGTCCGCAACAACCACCATTACTCCCACATTTTCCGCGCGCAGTGACCACCAAAACTAATAGCAGCATGAACAACTCAAGCGATGACTAGAGCCAGAAAGATGACCAAAGTAACTACTACAAGCCAAAAAGCAAAACATTAGACACAACGCCGACAGGAGCCCATACTAGTAACCCCCAACACTCAGGAACCAAGCAGCGCTTCTACCACAACCACAGTCTCTTCAAGACCCACCACCAACACCATCCCAACAGCTATTAACGCCACAACCACAAAAGAACAACTATCATTGAGACAGACTGATTCATGACCCCCTATCTTTGAAATTTTTTCAAAGCGACACAACTAAAAGCATTTACAAAATACCGAGTTCAGTTTACTTCATGTGATAATCGTATGATTAAATATGATAATAGAGAACAACCTTGAAAATTAAGAGAACGGGTTCCAATAAGAAGAATTTGAAATAATCTTTTCGCTCGATAAATCACCCATATTGTCATATACCCAAAGGATTCTGTGTAATGAACATGTGCTTTCTCCCTACTGATACAACCCATCTCAATATAACATAACCTCTGCCTGCTGGAAGTCGCGAGTCTTAATCCCAGCTGAAACCAATATCAACTGAGTATCCAGTAGCACTTAGAAGGGGGGCCCCTTGAAGTTCTCTTGTGCCCTTACCATTCCACGTGTTATTTGCCACGCAAAACAAAGGAGGTCCATGGCTGTTAGCAAATCATCATCACTTGTCCCATCTACTTGGGAATCACTCGGATGGACACTTCTCATTCCAGAGAAATTCTCACACTGGTTTGTTACCCTTCCCTCTTTACCTTCACCACTATCGTGAATGCCAGCTTTGTTGGTAGTTAATGCAAGGTCGGCGGTAACACGGGTCTCTTTAAGTTCATCAAGAGAGATGTCCTTGGAGACGTTACTACCGCAAAAAGTCACTTCAGACTCTTCTGAAGACAAGTGAATACCACGTTTTTCAATTTCTCCGCTTTCAAGGTTTTCCGCATCAGTTTGTCCTGACTTAATCATTTCTGTCGAAACAGCATTTAGATTGCCACCAGAAGACAAGAACTCTCTGTCTTCGTTGTCGTAGACTCTTTGATAACTTTTCTGAAAAATAAAAAAAAAACAAACACACACACTCACACACAAACAGACGCATAACAGTTCAAGTAAGATTGTATCTGTAGGCCCTAAAATCCTATCTGCCCAAGATTCCCTAAGTGTATGTCTATCGCGTTATTGTTCTCTTGAAGACTAGGCAAACAATATATAGACTTCTTGCAGTCCGCCTTTTCTCTTAAAATCCCTCTAGGTCTAACCAGCCAGAGCGATTGCAAAGCACGATGTTTTGTTACAATAAGGGACTGGGACCAGAGGAGAGAGGACGATCGACTCTTATTTCTTCTTCTCGGACTTAAGCCCTCGTTTATCGCGGCTCGTGGCTTCGCCGCTTGCGTGCTTGAGAGAGAAAAAACAAAGGAGACATTTTTTGTTGGAGGAACAAATGAAAATTTTGTAGCGGCAGTGAGAAATTAAGAAATGCTAGCGGCCACCAGCGTGAAAATGAGTGACAGTGAAAAAAAGGGAACAAGAACACCTATTACATTTCCCCCATAAAACGTGTAACCTGGAAGGTTCTGGAAGTTTCACGTTGTAGTCGTGCAAAACAATGGCAAAAAAATGTACAGAAAATTGTGCTGCACGTAAAAAATGGTTTTTTGCTAATAAGACCTTCTTTTTTTGCCGTTATTGTTGCCTTCGCTGCTTAAGGTGATGTTAGACGAGACGATTCGCAACGACCATTTTTAGCGCAACACAGCGTTGTGACATTGTTGGGACATTGTTTCGAATGGTTACAACATTGCTCCAACATTGCAAACTCTGTGTTGCGCTAAAAATGGTGGTTGCGAATCGTCCCGCATATCATCAACCTTTAGAATCGTGTAATTCTAAAGGTGATGTTTAACGAGACGATTCGCAACGACCATTTTTAGCTTAACACAGAGTTGCAATGTTGGAACAACGTTGTAACCATTCGAAACAATGTCCCAACAATGTCACAACGCTGTGTTGCGCTAAAAATGGTCGTTGCGAATCGTCCCGTGTAACATCACCTTTAGATTTACACGATTTTATATTTTGAGTGCCTTGCGCTAGCAATACAGGCGTTTGATGGGTCATTAGACAATAGATGTTAATTTGCGTTAACAACGGGTTTAGTTTATGTTGCCAATACTAGCTGACAAGGCGTTGACAAGTCGTCGTTTCTAGAAAACGTACGCTTTCATAATACCATAGGGCGCATCATCCTTTGGGCACATCTTGCGCAAACACAAAAAGGAATTTTGGCATTTTTTGCGGATGAATCACGTAAACCAACATGCTTTTGAAGCAGCCCGGCGAGGTTAATGTTGTAACACCGTTTCTGCCAAACGAATTGAAATTTAACGCTACGCCGACGTAAGAAAGACGACCTGTCAGAAATGCCTGGCTTTTTATCGGGAGGTTTAACCGTTTTAATCTGTGGTGAAGCGAGCGTGCTGAGCGCTTCGATTAGGAAAATGTTTCACCTGTGCATGTTTGCCGATTTTATTTGGAGGAATGTCCCAGAAACCGCATAAAATCACTGTTTCGAACACGCGAAATCGATGCTAAATGTGTCTGGCATGTTTTTCTTCGCCAGCAGAGTTTCTTGATTAATGAATGGTAAAAGGCGTGAAATTCCTGTTACGCCTCCTGAACTTGGGATGCAGTGATGTTATTACAGTCCTTCTATTTTTCTCGCTTCCTTCCAAACCTCCCCCCACCCCCTAAGTAGTTTTGACACTCATCCAAGATGGCAACCCGTAACGCATAGCGCTCGATCTCGCTGATCTAACGGGAAAATAGGGGACTGTGAACAGTCTATACAGGATAGGGAAAAAAAAATTTCACACAAGTTTTCGATTTTTAACTTAACGTTAATGGTGAGTGTTACATTCACAATCGAGAGCTTTTAAAGTAAGTCGAACTCACCGCTATCATAGCTACCATACCTGCAATCTCTTATTTCTGAGCCAATGTTGAAGATCACCATACGGAGCATATTCTAGTACCAGAAAAATGGGGTCTGATGTAACACAGCATCCCAGCATGCTCACAACATTCTTGTGACAGCCGATTGCTTTCATCAGCTCAATTTCTTCCAAAAATTGATTTTTGGCTTCTTGGTCTGTCCGTTCTAAAATTAGAACAAAATTATAAAGTGAAATATTTTTGACAAGAGAAATTAATCTACTTACCTTAATTTGTTGAATTAAACATAGATCCGTACCTAATCAATTACAAACAGTGTAGGATATTAAGGTTGATTAAAGATCACCACAAGAATATTCTTCTCTCTTGTCTGACTTGAAATCGCTTGTTAACTAATTAAATGTACGAAAAATCACGTTGAAGATTAAAAAAAGGTACAAATGTGCTTCATAAACGATATGCACCGTGTTTAACAGTTGTGTTCCTGTTTGCTTAAGCCCCCTTTCGACTCCGAGTAACCTAATCTAAGCCATTCTAATGGACTCTGTATCAGACCCACGTGAAGAAGCGACATGCTTATATGATGAGACATTTAAGAGGCAGTCTCCCTAAAAGCGTTCCACTCGATTTTGGACTGGAAAAAACTTTTGCCTCATAATTTTACCATCAACACTACTATCCATCCTAATAACGAAATTGCAGTTAGAATAAGGAAATTGTTTATTTTACTGCCATTCCCACCATTTCATTGCTGGACGACCGTTAGCGGCTAAAATATGCAAATTTTAGTCTCTGTTTTACAGGTTTTTTAACGATCGCTCTAAAGTTCTTCGGGTCATCAAATCCTAGACTATTGGACTCATTTGGAAGCATATTACTTCTTCTTACTGTTCCAATACCGTTTAGGCGTTATCTTTCTGTAATCAGCAAAAACTGGTCGTCTTTATTTCGCTAATCAAATTAAGAAAGCAAACTGCACGAGAAAATGCCTCAAAATCATCAGAAAATTCTCAAAAGTGGCACCTTAACTAGACCTAAAAACATGTTTTAGTTAAAGATTAATAGCTATTTTGTCAAGTTATGCAATAAAACTTGTGGCACAACGCGATTCAGAATTGAAGGTTTCAACTCAAATTTAGGCAAATGTTCAATTTGCGTTGCGTGACGATACCGGCTGCTGTCACAACAAAATCCTCAGTTATTCAAATACTTACCACTTTTAAGTAAGATATGCCTCATTTTTCCACCAAAACTATATTGAAATTGCCTTTTTCCCTTTACCAATGATACATATTGTTCAAAGATTAGTTCAGCAAGTAAAAGATTCCTTTCCAAGCTTCATTTAATATTCCCACTGCCCCGAACATTCGTGTTAAGTCTGTTATGTCAAGACGGAAAAATACCTTTTCAGAACCAAACCTCTTCTAGCTTAAAATGTGGTCCAGTCTGAAAAAGCTGCATTGACCAGAAGTTACTCCGATCCATCACATTATAAAATTGAACGTTAGAAGAAAAGTAAATTTCCCACTGCTTAATTAAATATACGTGAACAGGTCAGAAAATGTTTGACTTGTACTTCGCCCCACGTAAGGGTATCCGGATTCAGGAATCTGGAAAATTTTTACTTGTAGGATCCGGAATTCGGGAAAATTTTGATATGGAATCCGGAATCCAGGGCTTCTAAGGAATGAAATTCCACTGGAAAAGACTGGAATCCAGCACCCGGAATCCCGAATCCATGGAATGGGATCCAGAATCCAAGACTGTCTTGTATTCGCTAAGATGGGGCGATAGTACTGGACTGTGAACGGCGAATTACTATTTTCCCTTTATTTACCTTCCACTGATCAGGAGCCCACATTTGAAGACTTTGTTAATGAAATTTCAGTTAGAAGGTTTCTTCCATTTACTGACTGTTTCTTCCTATTAACAGTGGTCAGCTTTTGTTTTCACGCTCTAAGAGACAGTCTGGAGTCTAAGGCTACTTTTGTATCGCAGCCAGTTAATGAAGAAGTTGGCACACGCAAATAGTAAAGTTTCAACATTAATTTCGAATCGGGCAACATCAGTGAAAGTAACAAGAAAATAAAGTGTGAAAGTTCACGCGGTTTTTCCCAACTGATAAAAGTACACGATTGTCAGGACACCATTACTTCTTACCATCAAACCTGTCATCCATCGAAGTCTGAACTAAGTGAAGCAGAGCCAATACTCTCAAAAGATGGTAACCATTGACCTTACGAAAAATCAAGTGGAACAGATGGTGATCTGCTTCCCCAGGAGGACTCCCTTACAAAAGTGACGTGGGTGCTCGTCGTTTGTAGATTTTGGTCTCACTTCGGTTGTTTGGGACGGAAAGTACCTAAATACGCTCATTCAGGTATCGCTTTAGGCTGTGCATAAAGAAATTTGCCAAAAAAAAAAGCCGTGACGCTGGCCTGACAGAAATCTCCTTTAGGGGTCAGTTTAAGCTTGAGCCACACCCACATTGCCCTCCCTTAGAGGTTTAAATAATAAATTATTAATTTTCCGACGAGCAGCCTTTCACTTTTATATGGAAGTCCTCCCGGGGATTACCCACAAATATCGGCATATAAACTCGGAAGATTTTGGCGGACACCACGTTCTTCGCATAGAGGACCAAGAAAGGAATATTAGGACCAAGGACAGGCATGTAATTGGTTTGGAGATTGCTAAGATCGTATACCATCTATTTTAAAGGATGGGATCACGTACGTATAAAATCGTAAATATATCCTTATAACTAGTTCCTTTATCTGTGATAAGATAACGACAAAAGGGGCAATGGGTATTGTCATAATCGTAATTTCAAGTTCAGACAATGATAAACTCAGTATTCCACTCAATTTTTTTATTTAGAATTATGCGGGAAGTGAAGATCCAAACATAATGAAGTTATGGAGAAAAGTAGGAAGTTGCTTTAAGTCAAACATCCTGATATTAATCACTGTTGCAGTGCGGTATAAAGTTACACAGTCAGCTGATGCAGTTGCACATTTGACATCATTTATGAGCTGACGGATTTGAATATCACAAGATACACGCGTGAAACAGAAAGTGATCAGCGCATATCTAAACCTTATTTGGAGTCGGAGTTAAATTGCCAAAATCGTGATTACCTACCTTTAGGCATATTACTGAGAGTACTCATGACAATTATTTGGTACCATGGAGAATTCCCCGACAGAATTTTCTATTGAAGCCCAACGTGGACAAAAACCTCTGAATTCGAACAATCAGTAGAAGGGAGAGCTGACGTGAAGTCTGAATCCCGCATTGTCGAAGGTTTCCCCAGCATGAGCATTTCTCCAGGTCCAGTCTTGTTAGCGGTTATCATCCTGTTCTTACAGACGCTTGCATTCTACCACGTTAATAATGTAAAAATACATACATCTGAACAACAGCTGAAGGATCTAGGATCACATTTTTAAAAATCGGCCTTTGGACCCTCCGTGTGGATCCAAATTCATATTGCTATCGATTTTACTAAATTAGGCGCCACCGCGTTTATCATTTCGTTTTTGCGACTCCAGTGCGGCGCTCATTTGATACACCAGCCTACCGCGGACAATGTTGTTGAGCCACTCAGAGAGGATCTTATTGCTTTCATATGTCTGCATACCGAGATGCTATGACAAAGAATATAAAGACCGCAAATACTTCACAAATCTTATGAAAAAAATACAAAAACAAAAAACGAGCGAGATTGCATGCGAGTAAACAAAGATCTGGTACAAATTTCCCTGAAATAGTCAAATATAAACCCCCTAGTCGTTCAAAGCTTAACACCTTGACAGGGTAACGGTTTTATTCAGTGGTGGTATAAACAGGTTACAACCGAACACTGTCAGGCTACTCAGTCACTTCACTCACTGTCCATATGCATCACGGAATTGATAGCGTACAGCATTACCAGCATAGCACTAGCACTGTACATAGACAATCAGATTTGTGATCGAAGGCCGGTAGATTTATACATCTTAGAATTTATACTAATATCAAATTCCTAAAGGTGTCCGGACACTAATTTAATTCAATGTACATTTCACAGCTGATTTCATTTTTTTAAGGGCAAATAACAATTTACTTGATAAGAATTTGTAAGTACGAGACTTATTGTGGCGTAGACGTGATTAGCGGGTTGTTGATTTTACTTCTTTGAACTCCAGTCTATATTTTCTTAATTTTTCTTTAAGGACTACCGTGTACCATCGTCCCATATATATATTGTAAAGGTGAATGTGTGAAGGACCTTCTCGCTGCAAAATGTAAATACGTCCACCTGTCACTAGACAGGAGAAGCATTGTTCTCGTTAATGTTATCTGTAAAACAAAAATGTTCGTTAGAACGCGATTGAAGTATGTCGAATAGCCTCTTCCAGGCTTTCAGACTGTGGGGATGACCCTCCGAGGGATGCCAGTAAGAAAAGGGCGAAGGGGTGGGGTGGGGAGAAATGCGTATTTTTCCCGACCCACTCTACTAATAAGAAAGCCAACTACTGGGAGTCGAACAAAGGACGGCCGGCCGAGACTACTAATACGAAGGTCAGTGGAAAAGTAAACTTAATCTTCTATAAGCTTAACCTATTTCCGATTTTTCTTGTTGATAAAGTAAAAAAAAAAAAAAACAGAAAAATTGTCATTTGTAGGATCACGAAGAATTTTTTTACTATCACAGCGGCAGGTGTCACGCAATGCGAATTCGGCATCAATATGCAAATTTAAGTCGAATCCTTCAATTCTGAATCGCATTGTGCCACAAGTTTTATTGCATAACTTGACAAAATAGCTATTAATCTTTAACTAAAACATGTTTTTAGGTCTAGTTTAGGTGCCACTTTTGAGAATTTTGAGATGTTTTTGAGGCATTTATTCGTGCATCTTGCTTTCTTAATTGGGTTAGTGAAATAAAGACGACCAGTTTTTGCTGATTACAGAAAGATAATGCCTAAATGATATTGGAACAGTAAGAAGAAGAAATATGCTTCCAAATGAGTGCGAACAGTCTAGGATTTGATGACCCGAAGTACTTTTAAACGATCGTTAAAAAACCTGTAACACGGCATCTAAAATTTGCATATTTTAGCCGCTAACGGTCGTCCAGCAATGAAATGCTGGGAATGGCAGTATAGTAAAATAATCAATTTCCTCATTCTAACTGCAGTTTCGTTATTAGGATGGATAGTAGTGTTGATGATAAAAATATAAGGCAAAAGTTTTTTCGAGTCCAAAATCGAGTGGAACACTTTTAGGGAGACTGCCTCTTAAGAATGAAAAAACGTGTGCTGTAAGGACAAGATCACACAATGTGGAAATTCCCTGCCGTTCACGAGTATCATCAATGGCTGATATTGTCATTAAGAAAAACTTTCATTGATTATTAGATTATTGTTTTATTAGATTATTGGGGTTACGTGTATGGGATGGATAATAACAGGCTACCAAAACAGCTGCTATACTTGCAGCTCTGTTCTGGAATGCGTAATCAAGGACAGCCTAGATTAACGTTCAGGGCAAGTTGTTCAAAGCTGGGTTAAGATAACCCAGGGCTAGTGCGCGATTTGAATTCAGATTTGAAAGCTTAAAAAGCATTTTAGTTTTAATTCTTTTTGTCTATAGGTTGATGATTGGGAGCTTTAAGTATAACAGAGAACATTATCCAAGAAAAAGAAACCCTGGTTAAATTTAACCCCTAGTTAAGCGCTAATCGGCCTTCGAACAACTAGAGATGTAACTGGAAGAAACGTGAAGTAGAGAGACATCGATCTCTGAACGGTTGGCAAGAGAGTGCCAACGACAGACCTGCCTGGAAGAGACTTATGCTGAACCCTAGAACAGTCAAGTTAGTCGAATCAACGATGATGAATGTACTTCACTTGATCTTCAAAGTGCCATTAAATGGATACAACGAAATGTTGTTAGTATCCATAAATATAGAAACAAGTGGGGGACTTTCTAAGGGTCGTGTCTTAATATAAGGTCTCCTTAAAACACCATTCGTTGTAATAATAGACCTTTTGAATACTGTTTAAAGAATTTGCTAAAGAAACTACAAATAACAATCACAATCTTGAAGAACATAGCTTTTATTGCTCGATTACTAACCTCCTACAACTTTAACGGCTACTGTTCTGCCTTCTTTAAAGTCGACGGTCTGATTTCTGGGCTCGTAAAATACGTCGATTCCAGGGGATTCCCTAAGTATGCCTTTTAACACTTTACCAAATGCACCACGACCGATCTCTTCCTGGAAGATAACTTGTTCTCGTAGAATCTCCCATTGTATAAGGGGGATTATAGTGGACTTGGACCTGAATGAAGAAAATAAGGAAATTAAAACAACAACAACGGTATTTGTAGTTGCATCGAATGCTTTGCAAATAACGTTTTGTCTTTTTTGTTTTTAGTTCCTTGGACTAGGAATTCATAATCTTTCTTATCTTCAACAGATGGGTAGGTAGATGGATAGATAGATAGATGGATAGATAGATAGTTTATTAGAATAATTACACGAGCAGCCAGGGGCTGAATTGCGTTATTTAAGAATAAAACTAAGCTAAAATAGAATAATTTACAATATATCAATACAGTATTAAAATTCATGCATATAATATATAAAAGCATTAAAACCGAATCATTTAATTGACGGCTAAATAAAAGTGTTCGGTCCGTCTCCCACTTTGGAAGTGCAAAGTGTCGTTGATTTCTTAGCCTGCGAGCAAGCTCTCCTATTTGAGCGAGCGAAGCGAGTCTCGCGAGAACGCGCGAGCGAGCGGCAAAGCCGCGAGGGGCAGAGGAAAGGCCTCTCGCTCGCGCGTTCTCGCGAGGCTCGCCCAAATGGGAGAGCTTGCTCGCAGGCTATTGATTTCTTAGTGAATATGGAGCCTTATTGGCTTCAGTTAATAACTTGTTAAGTTTGTGGTGTCGCTTACTAGTTTGAAGACTTCTTACTTTTCGATCAATGACATTTTTTCACTGTTAGTTTTACCTTCTTGGTCTGGCGTTACGATCCCGTCCTATTCTTTTGGCTAATTTTCTTCGAAACAGGAATATTGCCAAAATGGCTATAACAAGGAAAGCAGCAATTCCTGCTGTTAAACCAGCAGCTTGGGATAGAGCCGAATGGTTTCCACTTTTGGTAACTATTGATTCTGATGGTTTTGAGATCGAGAATTCCTCATTAAGTGTACCTGAAAAGATGTAAAAAGGTAACGATGAGGCTATTTTCATTGAAAAAGAGAGTAACGATACTGGTGAGAAACTTTCTTCTGCTTCAAACATTTTGCATCCACATTTATATTCAAGTAATTAATTATAGATCTTCTAAGTGGTAATCTTAAGCCCTATTCACCCCAACTTGTTTATCCATTGAAGCCAGGTTTTAAAAAAATAAAAATGAAATCAGTAATAGAAAACTAAAATAAATGGCTTTTACATGGATTTGCTTTATTTCATTTGTGCGAAACTTGTAGGTGTCGAAAATCTTAAAGCATCTTTTATGGATGAAACAAGTTTAAACCGTGTGGAACGTTTTGTCTCAAACTATTGCTCCCTGGCTTTTGTTCGCGTGATGTGATAGTAAGTTAGGGAAGATTTTGAACGAACATTTAGTCGAATTCTCTGGAAATCCGTTTACACGCCTTTATTGGTGATCAGTAATTATTGTAACGATATGATTGTCTTGAAAAACCTACCTGAACTTGTTGTTGTTTTCCACGTTTTTGACCTGCTGCTCTGCCCTACCTCATTCCAGGCGGTCATTTCGATTTTATACCCCGTGTCACATCTTGTTGCCAAAAAGTATTGATTTGCCATGGCGTTGGTGATGTTCACAACGTACCAGGGTGCTCCTGGTTGTTGTGGTCGAATCTGCATGTAGTAGATCGTATACATAATTAGCGGACATCCATGATCTGAAGGGGTTTCCCAGGCCAGGCTGACGTTGCAGCTGAATGCATCTTTTTCTAAACTGCTTAAAACTGGAGGCGACGGAACATCTGAAAAAAAAAAATGGAGAACGAATGTGACAATGAAACGGGTGCTTGCCATCCGTTTAATGTCATACTTGGTTCGAAAAAAAGAACAAAAAAGATTCCAAATTTAGAATAATTTTTAACTTGCCTCCACTGGGTTTAAACTTCAAAGTTTGGCTGCTGTCACTTTCCATATGGCCATCCATTGAAGTAACCTTTATTTCATACTCGTGACTGCAATTTAGATGAAGGGTATAGTGATTTATACTTCCATCGATGCTGATTAAGTGCTTTTTGCTTTCTCCAGATCGCGGTGAACCCACTCTTCTGTAGTAAATATTATAAGCCAATACGGGACACGCTCCTTCCAAGGGTGGCTCCCACTGCATTCCGATGGTTCCTCCTGTGACTATTTTGTTCACTATGGTTGGAACACCTTGATTTTTTTGTTCAAAATGTTTCATTTAGTTTTACTGTGGTATTTTTCTTAAAACGCAAGTAAATTAAAGGTTCGAGAGAACGATTTTAAAGACAGAACAAATAGATTTTAGACGAGAGCTCAGATAACGTCTAGAGCAACTGTACATATTGACCAGAACTGATATCAATGCTATGATATCATTCTGCCACATTTTGTAGTGCGTATCGGCTTACCCTATTCGCTCGTTCAAATGAAATGTTCATTCCCTTATATTTATAACTAGGAAGTGATTAGTAAGCTCATGACCTACACGTATGAAGAAGTTTCGATGGTTTGTCAGGGGAGCAGACTGATTCAGTTTCAGCACGGAATTACCCCGGCGTTCTTAGTGGAGAATAGGGAGGTTAAGCAGCCACGACGACACCGACAACGATAACGTCAAAAAGAAATTGGTTTTAAGACCAAAACAGCAACTTTGCACGTACATCACGCTTTTTAGTACATTTCTTTGACGTCTACTGCATTACTATGACATGAAACCATCTCATGTGACGTTTTATGGAGGACGTGAACATACGACGACGAATAATTCCTTAATTTTTCTGTCAGAAACTGGATAAAGTCTTTTAGAATACAATTCCAGGAGAAATCGCTTACATTTGACAAATTGAGCGGGGCCAAATAGACGCTAATAACTTAAAAAGCACGCAAATTCTTCTTCTTTTTTTGCTACGTTTTCACTACCGTCGTCGTCGTTGCTTAAGCGCCCTAATATATTCCTTTCCCTGCTAGCAGAGGTCTCTCACGACGAGGCATAAAAGAGAGGAAGGAAGGATACTCTCTCCGTCCTCTCATTTTTGCCTCGCCGTGACAGACCTCTGCTAGCAGGGAATATATTCCTATGACTTCACAGACACCTCGTGCTTGAAAAAAAACAAGGCATAGAGCATACAGCAAATCTCTCACCTCTTAGTTTATTTATTTCATCCAGTGAAAGAGCTGTGCCAAAGACGAACAGATCCATCACTGATCCCTGGAACTGGTGATATTGTTGGTCATTGCCTACCATGTACAAACGTCCGGAGGAACTATAGAACTTTGCACTTGACGAAAATGTTCTGTATGCAATTTCAACCCCATCTGCATAGATGAATACCTTAAATGCCTCCTTATTCCACGTGACTACCAGGTGAATCCATTTGTTTAAAGGAATTTCTGAACTTGTTAGAGACCACCATTTCTCATCTTTAATATAACTGTGACGATGAAATATTATCTTTTGTTTTTTTGTGCTGAGAAGAAACTGCCATGGGTACTGCCAATCACCATAGATCGCTTCTAATATGTAATTCTTTTTTCTTTGTTTTATCCAGCATGAAATCGTAAAGCTTCGTCCGTTCAAAATAATTATCGGTGTCCTGGCGTAGAAAGACGATTTGGAGAACGAAAGGGCTTTGCTTCCGGGACATCGTCCTTCTGTTAAGGACCGTGATCCGTAGAACCTGACAAGAAGAAAAAGACGTAAGTTTGCATAGCGAACAAACCTGGAATACTTACCATTTTCTTGGGAAAACCTGAAATTCTGGTTGGAAAATCAATGGTTCGGGCCATTCCGTTTGGGAATCTCCAGAAAATGTGGGCTGTGATTTCAGGCGATAAAATTTTCAACGTTTTTTAGTGTGTTCTGCTTATATGGAAGTACTTTGTAGCTTGTCCTTTTCCCACCACGTTAAATTTTATAGTTCGATGTTTCTGCACATGATTTCCACCCGGATGGTTTGTGTAAATGGCAGCCACCCCTGGACTACTTTAAGTACTTTGGCTTGTGACTCAACCTTGTCCAAGAAAAAGAACAAATTAAGAAAAAAACTCCTATGATATCATTTTATCTTAACTTTGTAATTTATCTGGAACTTTTTGTAATTTATTTAGAACTTCACATTTTCTTGCTGGTTTCGCATCTTAACCTAAGTTTTTATGCAAATTGATAAGGAAATCACTTAATGTGAAATTCCCTGAGTGGTTTCCTCTGCGGTGTGACCATAAGTGTTACTCACGTTACATCCTTGTCCTCCCCATTCAGCAACCAGTGCCCAAGTATTACCATGTCTACAAAAATATGTTGTTTGATATTCACCCAGAGTTCACAACCGTCATTGATTCTTTATGAATCTAACTCAGTATTACGTAAAAAATTCTACTGTAATTTAATGCTATTAATAGTTTCTACTCTTTCTGCTTTTCTCTCGCATCAACTTCTAAATATATAGGGCTGTTGACGCAATAGTAATAATAAAAATAGTAATAATAAACAATAATAATAACTGGAGAAGCGCCTCTGTATCCTTATTGTAGCTGGAGCTCTTGGGACTATGAGTACATCTCCTGAGGATGTGGATCAGCAAGCAAGGAACACCTGGGATCATTGCATTGTTCCAGAAAGCTTTTTTCTTGGGAACAGCTAAGATATTAAGAAGGGCCCTACACATTTAAGTCTACAGGATAATGGCTGGACGCGAAAGGGGAAACAAGGCCACCAATAGGTGCATGTGAGTAGGTCTGAGAAATAATGATAATAATAAAGATAATAATAGCCTGTTCCAGGAGTTCAGATCGTGGGGACAGCGCAAAGAGATGTGGGTTCCGGGAGAGAGCGAGGGAAAGTCTCTACTTTTCCCTCTTTTCCTCCTTATTTTATTTCTAGCTCTCTTCCTTCGCGCCGCACTCCACTATCCAAACGCCTGGAACAGGCTATGATAATAATAACGAATATGATAATGATAACAATAATGATAATATATATTATAGTAATTCTATGTGACAATGACGACGAAGGTGATGATGATGATGATGATAAGTACCTTTTTTCTTTGGAGTCATTAATTTTTCTTTACCTGACGGAGACACTTGACAGCATTTGAACTCTTCAATACAGCTCAATGTGTTACAACTTTCTTTGTATATTCCTACGATAAATGACCCACTTGAGCATGAGCTCCAGCCTTGGTTGTCGAGTGAAATCCTTACACTTTGATCTTTGCAGTTCGCTGATATGTTTTTGAATGTAATAGGTCTGCAGCACCTAACATGTTCTATATTCTGTAGGTCAGCGCCCCTTGACCGGTAAAGTCCCTGGAGGAAATACCCATCAGGACAGGAAGCCCATGTATAAGTCCTGGTCAAGTAAATAATGGAGCAATAAGAATTTTTTTTAAGGTAAATTGTACACAATAGGAAGATTTAGAAGTTTCAACAGGAAGCCTTCAGCTTTTACAAACAAGGAAATATGAAAATAAAGGAGCTTCTATACCAGAAGAGGGAAGGCTTTGTTTGGTTTTCAAAAGAAAACTGCATAGAAGACGAGAAACACTTCTTAACTGATTGTACTGAATACGGGAGTCTTAGACAGTAACTTTATTTTCATATTTCTGAAAATGATGCAACCTTCATCAATTTAACAGATCATGATACAACGTTATATTTACTCAGATTGAACAATGACAAAACTTCACATATTATAGCCAAATATGCCCATCTAATGTTTAAAAAACGAAAACAGTTCCTGAGTCAAAAATCCAATTGATTAGGTAATTAAATTATAGTATAATTATTATCGAAATAGTATATGCCGTATAATTTTGTTGTGTCCGTTCATATTTCTTTCTTCTTAAATTTGTTGTAGTTGAAAAATCTATACTATACTATGCTTATAGGGACTCCTCATTATTACGGACAGTTTGCTTCATTCCTGGGAAAATAAAGCCCTTTCATCTATTCTCTAATTCAACTCGCTTAATTTCCCGTTAATACGGACACCTTATATGGCCCCCTCAGTGTTCGTGTTATACTACCCCACAATAGTGTCCTCTCACTGGCGGCACACGATATCACGCAAATCAAACTGTTCCAACAAGTACGTTAGTCGCGGTCAAAAATGGGAATTGCTAGCCATGCAATCCACCTCGCTTTGATCCGTCCTTTTTTTCATAAGATTTCCTAGTTGTGTGGGTCAATAGCTTCTAGTTTTATTAGCATAAAATGGTGAAAAACACAGCAATATCTAGTTAAGGGCAGGCCAACAGCACAACTTGACTTATTAGACTGACTACCTACTGAAAGTCAGTACCTTCACGACATTTTCAGTCCACTGCAAGGAAACTTAGAGGAGATTTTAAGTTAAGTTGAAAATAGCATAAATGCATTGTACCAAATAAACTAGGCTATTTTTTCGCAGAACTAAAATCAAATATTAATATCTGATTCAATGTTAACTCTTCTCAAGCTCAGAGGCGTGCCTAGAAACTTTTTAGAGGTACGTAAGCGTTGTTAAATCAAGCTCCAAGCCGTCTCCCAGACCATATTTATGGTTCCATGGTTCTCGGTATAATGCGATAACAACTTTTCTTGACCATGAGACCATGTTCTTTAAGCACCAGATATACGGCTTTTGCGTGTGGCCAAATCGATGAAAAAGCCGCATTTTGTTTGAAAACATTTCTGAAAAAAGTCAAATGGAACTTTCACAGGTAGAATTGCACCGTTTCTCAGCTATCCTCTATTATTACAGTATCTCTTGTTCAATTCTCCTGTTTCTTTTTCTACTTTCTCTGTTTTTCTATTTTGATGTTTTATTTATCAATTCGACATTTATCCAGCTACAAACGTGTATATTGGCGTGCAAGTAATTACGCTCCCGAAACCAACATAAATGAATAACTGAATCAATCAAAAATGATTTCAAAAGCCAAAGACTCTCACCTGATTTATATACTCAAAGTATGAACCGCACTGCAGCGGAGGGGGGTCACGGCCTAGAACCGCTAAACTAACCTGCTAAGAGAGGTTTTCCAGTCTACTTGTAGGCAGACAGTTTCCTTATCTTGGTATTCTTTTGGAGGTAGACAACATCTCCCTTTCCCGATAACCTCAATACTATCAGACACACTACGACTAGCTGATCTCCATATTCCATTCAAGTATCTCCCCAAGGAACAATTCGACCATCCTGGCTGACTAAGATTCTTCCAGTTGTCGTCATAGCAACCCTGCGCTGTAAAATCAAGAGAAATATTTTACTAATAATATCATAGGTGATGAATTACTCCTTAATTTTGGCGCGAAATTTCAGCGTTAATTTGTAATTTCACATGTGAAATTACAAAATTGTCATGCAGTTCCTGCCTTTTTAAGTAAATTATTGTGGCGACGAAGTTTTAAAATGTCATGAGTGAAGATGTCAGGGCACAAAAAGACGCTTTAGAAAACCTGAACACACGAAATAGCACATTAAGAAGGATTCTAACAGGTATTTTCTCGAAAAACTCTGAACTTAAGCCAAATTTAGGCTCTAAACGTTGCAGAGAGACGTCCTCAAGAGCTAGCTATGCTAGGTCCTATTTGTACAGTTTTTAGGTTCTATCGATTGCATTAAGCAGTGGGTACTATAATTATCCATTAGTTTACCATATGAGCACTTTAATCCCTTATTATTCACTCGTCACCATTTGATTACACATACCAATTTCTTCTTCTTTCCCTCTACCCCTACATATACTTCCCCCTCCTCTTTGCCCTTCTTATTACTAATATTATCTTTATTTTCATCCACGATTTTCACACTAGCCAATTAAGGCCAGTGCAAGGATATTCACACCCGACATTGACGACCAGCTGGCCCCAATGAGGTAGTCCTAAGTCGCAACATGCAGAAGTGCACATATTAATACGCCATTGTCAAAATGCGGGCGACATTTGACTACAACTACCAGAGTTCAGTTCGTTTTTACCTTGTTATTCTATTTGTCAATCCCGCTAAGGAGCCAGTTTAGAAAACAAGAGCTTAATTTACACAAGCAAAAAAAAAAAAAACGAATGGATTATGATTGTTGAAGTAAAGTGACGTCATCATGCAATTGTCATTTTACTTTTTCTAAGGTGGCTAAGCACAGTTTGATAGGTTGTGGATCGTTACCATCCATCGGGGTGTTATTTAAGAATCATTGCAGGTACATGTTTAAAACTCAAACTTGACAGGTACAGAATGCTTTTATAAGAATTTACATTATTTTATAAGGTTTAACGTAAGATTTCGATTGTTGTCATAGTAGCATGGATGATTTAGCAGTTTTACGCACATCTTGCAATAGGTAACCTTCAGTTTTTTAAAAACAAATTGTAACAAATGTTTTCTTGAAGTTTTCAATAAAATAGCTTGAGGGAGAAACTTTTATTTTGAGGCTTTTATTGACGTAAGCGCGATATGAATAGGATTTCTACCAAGTTTCGTCAAATTTGAATGAGCAAATTTTCAGATATTTTTTTTGTTCACATTGCCTATGAAAGGCAGAAAACAAGTCCAAGCGATCCCACTTTGCTTCTTGACTACCCATGCATGCCCTACACTTGTAAGTGCGCAAAGACCACGGTATATCAGAGGTGACGAAATGACGAAAACAGAATGAACTCTGAGAATTTGTCTCGATCAGCTTACCCTTGAAATTTTTTTTCAGTAAAATCTTATTGGGTGGACATCTAGATCTCTTCGTGATCAAGCATTTTTAACTTGCATTAAAGGAATTAAACCAGTCTACCTTCCTATAGTATTTGAGTATTACTGAAAGTATCTAGAATTCTTTTTTTCTTGCGAGACCATACGAATTTCAGGTCTTTCTCGCTTGTCCCATGTAATCAGTAAAAAATTCATTTGCAGAGTTAACAACTTACCAAGTGTAGTCGCCTTATTCATACTTCCAAAAATCTGTCAGTAACAAGTGGAGAAGAGAAAGTGTCAAAGCGTGGCAGATAGTGAAATAGCAGTAGAAATCAAAAGTCATCTTTCTTTCAATTCTCCATTTATCAAGAGCGCCAATAAAAATATTAATTGTTCGTAGCTCTATTTTGACACTTACAGTGTTCATTTACACCCAATTTAAACCTCCACTTATTATTACTGAGGCTGAGTATGATATTTTGGAATTGTGAAGATCATGGCCTTTTGTCTCTGTGGATAAAACCCTCCGAGATCTGCATACTTTGTAGGTTAAGTCAAATGTTTTGGTTGATAGGTGATTGCACTTTTGTCCTTTCATACTATTTTTTGCTCTTCAGTTTGGACAGCTTATTACAAATTACAATAAAGTAACTATTGGTAATTCAAACTACCTTATAACGAGTTCACATCCCAAGTGAAAAACCAAAAAACTTTCATTTTGTGAAATACAGGTTTAAATCCCTGACACCGTTTTTCAAAAAGTACTTGGTAATTTACAAAAAAAAATAATGCCAACTTGAAATTTAACTATATTTTTTAAACCGTTCAACCATTTTGTCTGAAAAAAAGAATAATAATAAATAAAATAATAATAATAAAATGAAATAATAAAAAGGAACCTGGGATTAACTCTCGTTACCTTCCATCATAAGCATTTGCACGAAATCTACCTCTTGTTGTTTCAGAAGCAGTAAGAGAGTAAGAATGAACATAGTTTTATTAAACTGGGTTTTTATAACAGTACCTTCAATTGCGTCGATAGGGCAAATATAGGAAAGTAAAAGGACGTTTTCACGAGGCCTTTATGTAATTAAAGAACTATATTGATGAATTCATGCCTTTTTTTAACTGAACAACTAAACTGCTAATAGCGTTAAGTCACATTTTTAGAAAAAATGCTTTCCAGGCCCTTCAAACACACGATGAGGTTGTTTGAGCGAAAATATTGAACCCTTGTGATAAGAAAAAATTGTCTGAACTAGCAAGAAACGCATTTGTCTCCAAACCAAGAAAACCAACAATAACAACAGTAAAGAGAGAAAAGTGCAATTGTATACGATATACTCACGGACCATAAGTACTATCCACGCAGTTATCATCCTGCCAAAATTTCTGACTTGCTTAGCTCCGACCGCAATAGCAACTAACTGGCGGGAGCAGAGTGGCTGGAAATGAATTTAAAGACTCCAAATCGCCTGGTCATGCATATTTGAATTCCTGTTTAACAATTATCACATAACGAAGTGCAAAAGACCTGGGGCTAAAGATCACTAGTTCAGCAACAGACATTTGTAAGGATCTACTCGAACGAATATCTTTCAACCACCTTTGACTCACTTTAGGTGTACATTGGTTTTAATTCCTTTTAATACGTAACAAGTTAAGCTTCAGTCCTGTTGTATTTCACAACCAA